ATTACTAGCCAAGACATGGTTGAACACCAAGATCCATCAAAGTCCTTTGACAAAGTAAAACTCAGCTCCATGGCTGTGACTTTTGTTTCACTATATTAAAGCAGAACAGATATTAACACTTCAAGCTTCTGATGTTTCAGGCCGACTATTATGTACACCCAGAACACTACAATCCAGTTTTCCACGAAAAGATCGCACCATATACGTCTGTTCTTGGTAGACCACTGATCTCTGTTTTATACATTTTAATTTCATGACTTTACATATAACCAACTCAAGTTTCCACTCATTAATAATGATTTTCTCTGTAGTTAACTGTATGTATTGGGAGAAGAGGTTTCCCCGTCTTCTGAGCATCAAACAGATTCAAGATTTAACAAAAAAGGGGTGCCCACTAGTGGGAATATGTGATATAACTTGTGATATCGGTGGCTCCATCGAGTTTGTTAACCGATCTACCTTAATTGACTCCCCTTTCTTTAGGTAATCTAAACTTTGAAAGAGCCATTCTTTTGAGTCTCTTGCATTAACTCATTAATGAAACTCAAGTCGAGGTAACAACTGTCTTTAGGTTTAATCCGTCGAACAATTCATACTACGATGACATGGATGGTGATGGTGTACTATGCATGGCCATCGACATTCTACCCACAGAATTTGCAAAAGAGGTAAGAAGATTTGCAGTTTTAGTACTTGGACTGATTCTACTACAGTTATACACACCTTGTATTGATTTGGACTTCTTTTGTGTCATGACAAAAGGCATCTCAGCATTTTGGAGATATTCTTTCCGAATTTGTTGGTAGTTTGGCTTCGGTGACTGAAATTGCAGAGCTACCAGGACATCTGAAGAGGGCTTGCATAAGCTATAGAGGAGAGTTGACATCTTTGTATGAGTATATTCCTCGTATGAGGAAGTCAAATCCAGAGTATGTTCTGCTTCCACCACTAGTGATTAGGCTTCTTCTCTAAAACTAGATCTTTCTTTTTAATTTTTTTATACACTTTCACAGCAGAGAGGCACAAGATAATACCGCCAATGGGATGTCCAACCAGAGAACATACAACATACTGGTGAGTTTTGAAGTGGCTAAGGTCTCAGTGAGATTGAAAAACAAGTTAATAGAAAGAGAAAAAAAAATGGAAAACGTAAACAGAGAGACAAAGCTCTTCCTACAAAAAGACCCTTGTCTGAAAAATGATACGATCTAAAGAAAATCATATTTAAGGACAAGCCCTCTTACAAGAAAGTAAAAATATATTGACTTAAGCTAATAGGAGATCTCAAGACTTATGCTTCACGAGATATTCATAACTATCTAACAAGTTTTCTTGACCAAAAGATTGATACGTTTTTGAGATCTGTCTCAGCTTCTTGATAATGATTTTGATTGAGATAATGATGATTTTGTAGGTATCTCTAAGTGGACACCTATTTGATAAGTTTCTGATAAACGAAGCTCTGGATATGATCGAAGCGGCCGGTGGCTCATTTCATTTGGCTAAATGTGAGCTTGGGCAGAGCGCCGATGCTGAGTCATACTCAGAACTTGAAGTAAGTTTTGTCTCTGGATAAAACTGAACCGACAGGCTGTCAATAGATTATAATATGTCAAGTTTAGGTTTAACGTCATTTTCACTTTAAGTCTCGTAATCTTTTAGAACAAGTAAACAAACTACAAGCCAAAAGAATGTGGTGGTCCCACTTTTAACCTGTTGCCACCTGCTGCTAAAGATTCATTTCCTCGATTATTTTTTGGCTAAGGTTGGTGCGGATGATAGGAGAGTACTGGATCAAATCATTGATTCGTTGACTCGATTAGCTAATCCAGATGAAGATTATATATCTCCAAGTAGAGAGACGAATAAGATCTCACTAAAGATTGGAAAAGTCCAGCAAGAAAATGAAGTAAAAGAGAAGCCTGAAGAAATGAGGAAGAAATCAGCGGTTTTGATTCTTGGTGCTGGACGTGTGTGTCGCCCTGCAGCTGAGTTTCTAGCTTCAGTCAGAGACATTTCGTCAGAGCAATGGTACAAAACCTATTTAGGAGCAGACTCGGAAGAACAAACTGATGTTCATGTGATTGTTGCATCTCTGTATCTTAAGGATGCCAAAGAGGTATGAGAATTAAGCTTTTGAGTTTCATCTGAGGATAACCACAATATCAATATTTTCAAGTTTTGTTCTGTTTTACTGAAGTGGTAAATCGTGTGTCAGACGGTTGAAGGTATATCAGACGTAGAAGCAGTTCAGCTAGATGTGTCAGATAGTGAAAGCCTCCTTAAGTATGTTTCTGAGGTATTTCTCTTAAATTCTCTCTTCACCATGCATTACTCCAAACTCTACTGCTCAAAATCCCTATCTTATTTTCTCCGCTTTGCGCACAGGTTGATGTTGTCCTTAGTTTATTACCTGCAAGTTGTCATGCTGTTGTAGCTAAGACATGCATTCAGGTACACTCCTACCCTCAAAACAAACATTAGACTAACTGGGAAGTTATTTGATCGATATAGAGGTTATTTGTGATTGTAATGTCTCTGCCTCTTCTTTGTGATTCACTCAGCTGAAGAAGCATCTAGTCACTGCTAGCTATGTTGATGATGAAACGTCCATGTTACATGAGAAGGCTAAGAGTGCAGGGATCACGATTCTTGGCGAAATGGGACTCGACCCTGGAATCGGTATGACACCTCACAACAAGCTTCTTTTTAATTACTGCTTTTAGCTTCAAAATCTTTCTTGGATAATTGAGAAGACTTCACTTTCAGATCACATGATGGCGATGAAAATGATCAACGAGGCTCATATCAGAAAAGGGAAAGTGAAGTCATTTACCTCTTACTGTGGTGGCCTTCCCTCTCCTGCTGCAGCAAATAATCCATTAGCATATAAATTTAGGTACCTCTTGCATGTCGTTTACATATTTTCCTTCGTTTCCTCATCAAAATATCAATTTTCAGTATCTCTCTATATATATAAAATTTCAGCTGGAATCCTGCCGGAGCAATTAAAGCTGGCCGTAACCCAGCCAAATACAAAAGCAACGGCGACATAATACATGTCCATGGTAATGATTAGACACTACTATATGTATTTATGCAGGGGAGGTTGTTGGACTAAGTTTAGGTTCCCTACACATATATCATTTCTGTTTAACAAAAGCTACGTAAATTTCAGGGGAGGATCTGTATGATTCAGCCACAAGTTTCAGAGTACCTAATCTTCCAGCTTTTGCATTGGAGTGTCTTCCAAATCGGAACTCCTTGGTTTACGGGGAACATTATGGCATCGAGAGTGAAGCATCAACCATATTTCGTGGAACCCTCAGATACGAAGGCATGCATTTCATAATCATTGAGTCACATCTCTGACAACAAAAGGCTTAACACTTGTTTTCTCTTGGCTTATGCAGGGTTTAGTATGATAATGGCAACACTTTCAAAACTCGGATTCTTTGACAGCGAATCAAATCAAGTACTCTCTACTGGGAAGAGAATTACGTTTGATGCTCTTTTAAGTAACATTCTGAAAAAGGATGCAGACAATGAATCTGAGCCTCTAGCGGGAGAGGAAGAGATCAGCAAGAGAATTATCAAGCTTGGACATTCCAAAGAGACTGCAGCCAAAGCTGCCAAAACAATTGTGTAAGCTTCTCCATGAAAAAGAAAAATCTGAGTGTTGTTGTGTGATACTAAATCTTCTGCAAACACACACCTAAGCCTGATTACTTTTGCGGTGTTTTAGATTCTTGGGGTTTAACGAAGAGAGGGAGATTCTGTCATTGTGTAAAAGCGCTTTCGATGCAAGTTGTTACCTAATGGAAGAGAAACTTGCCTATTCCGGAAATGAACAGGTCTCTGTTGCAAGTAGCTCATTGATAAACATTGGTTTTCTCTTTTTCTCTTGATGTTGATTTTCTGACATAAAATCTTTTGCATTACATTTTCAGGACATGGTGCTTCTGCATCACGAAGTAGAAGTGGAATTCCCTGAAAGCAAACGTACAGAGAAGCACAGTGCGACTCTCTTAGAATTTGGGGAAATCAAGAACGGGCAAACAACGACTGCTATGGCCAAGACCGTTGGGATCCCTGCATCCATTGGAGCTCTGGTTCTTACACTGATCACCAATTTTGTTCTGTCTTTACTTCTCTCTTACGTTACACTCTGTTAAACATATAATTCTGATGTTTTTGTTTTTGGGTTGCAGCTGTTGATTGAAGACAAGATCAAGACAAGAGGAGTCTTAAGGCCTCTCGAACCAGAGGTCTATTTGCCAGGTAACTTTGAATTTCCGCTTCGAAACTAGTGATGTGTTTGCAGATGAACACGATGATGTTGATTTGTTGTGTTTGGGGTTTTGTGGTGGTACGCACAGCTTTGGAGATATTGCAAGCATATGGTATAAAGCTAATGGAGAAGACAGAATGATTTTATTCTGTCTCAAGAACTCTGTATATTGTTTCTTTATCGTTTGGAGACTAAGCTAAAGAAGATAGAGACATTACACCCAAAAACAAAGAATAAAGATAAGAGAGATAAGCCTTAATCTTGTAGATATATGTATATATGTATATATGTATGTGTACATAAGAACTCATATGTATGTGTAGTTGTGTACAGTAAGTGATCATATACTATGTATTATGTGTAAATTGGAAAAAGTTAAAAAAAAAAAAAAAAAAAAAGAAATCTACAGATGAAAAAAATGTATTAATGGATTTACTATACGGTATGTTCCATCATTAAACGATTTAACAAGTAAAATCACGTAATTGTTATTTCCAAGTGTGTCATTGGTCACCCCAAGTAGCTTTCCAAGACAAGACTCTTGCTATTTAGTATTTTCCAATTCAATTTCCCTAACGATTGATTAAAAACGAAAAATAGTTCATCGATAGAATCTTGGGAAGTATTGATTTTGACTATTTTGATCAAATCCCATCTATAAATTCACACGCCTCTTCTACATTTTTGGTCTCACTCCAAAACAAAAAAAACTCACTTCACTTCTCAAATTAACTAAACTCACATCTTTTCAAGAGAATAAGAATATGGATAAGAAAGGTGATAGCGGAAAATCTGGAAACGTAGCACAAAGCAGTGGCAATGGGTCTGGTCCGGGGAATATGGTGGCGCCGGGGACTGGAGGTGCGTTTCAGATACCTCGAGATGCTTTTGAAGCCAACACAAAGGCTTATTTTGACAACCTTCATGCCAAGGACAAGGCAAATAAGTGAAAGCTGTTTCATCGTTTTAAAAGCATAATTAAGCACCTGTTTTGTTTATGCTTCTCTATAATGTGATTCTCCTATGGTGATCATTATCTTAATAAAAAGAGTTATTTCTCTACGTTATTCTTTTATGGTTACATACTTTGTGTGGTGCAAATGCATTCTGTTATGCCATACCATTAATCCATCTTGGTCACTTGGCATTAGAATCTGCTAGTTATTCGATTGCATGACTTGCTTTTTTCTTAAATGCAAACCAGTCAATTAATCAATCATTTACGGCGTGAAGAAAACCATAGTCTCATCTGTTCAACAAGTTTAGTGTTTTGGACAGAGTGATCTTTATCAACATGTTCTCCTTTCCCAACCGTATGGGCTTTACGAGGAAAGCTATTGGTAAAGCAGATTTAGTCCAATCTCAATTCGCTCATCAAATATATATATTTTTTAATTTAGATAAATTCTATAAAGATATCCAACTCACAAGATTGTTCTAATTTTCTTAAGAAAATCAAATTAAGGACGAGTTGCAAGATATACTAAAATACAATACAGACAAAACAGTCCAACATCTGTCTTCTACGTTTACAAGCTTCAAATCTAATACTTTAGGCAAACTGCTTATAGATCAATTTTTTTTTTCATGGAATGTCGAAGGCATAATAAAGAAATTTTCGAGAAAAAAAAATAGTAGCTGTTGGACATTTGAGAATCTAATACTTATATGTGTACGCTGAAATATAAATTACTTGTACATAAATACCGAAGTATTTAGTTATGGTCTAATGGGCAGTTGAAGTCGATGGTCTATGACTGCGTTGACAACGGAGAGGCAAAAAATGAAGAAATCTACGTTGAAAATTAAAATACGTACATACAAGTAACGAAAACATTTTAATCTCCCTTGTAGCTTTCCAAGACAGTCTTGTACCCGTTTCCAATTCAATTTCTCTTGCAAATTTAACTACGATATGGGTGTTAATCTTGGGAAATGTTAGTTTGACTACTTTGAACAAATCCCATCTATAAATTCCCCCACCTCTCGAATACATTTGTTCTCACTACAAACCAAAATTCTCATTTTACTCTCATCTAACCATTCTCACATTTCACGAAATAAAAGAGAAAATGGACAAGGAGGTTAGCGCCAAAGCTGGCTCTGTGACACAGAGCACCGGTTCAAGCAGTGCAAATGCTTCTGGTTCAGGCAATATGGTTGCGCCCGGTTCTGGTGGTTCTTCTAATATCCCTAGGGATGCTTTTGAGGCCAACACTAAGGCTTATTTTGACGATCTCCATGCCAAGGAGAAGGCAAATAAGTGAGAAAAGTGTTTTAGTAGTTAATAAAGTATAAACCCTTATTTGTTTATGCTCCTACGATGAATCAGTATCATTAAATAAATGAGATTTACCTCTCTTTTTTTGGTTCATGTTCAGTCTTTTATTTGCTTCTTTTTACCTTTTATTGCGTTGAGTTACTAAGTATTCTCTCTATCAGCAACTATCAGTCTATATCTTCATCTCATCGGTATTATATTGAGTCACTATGGTATTTTCTATCAGCAAGTACTAGTCTGAATATTCCGCCATTTTAAAACTGAAGTTTCCAATTTTAATGAACTGATTTTTTTGTCCACATTTAACGAACTGATTAGAAGAAACCCAAACTGGTAATTTAAAATTAAACTTTCTTTTGTTTATTTACATCACAAAAATATAGGTCAATAGTTGAGACCAAACTAAATTTGGCAAAAGAAAAACATTGAATAATGCTAAAACTTAAAAGTGAAAACATCTAATTCGATTCCGGTTTGCTACTTATTCTCCCATCAAGCTTGGTGGGTTTGTTTGCTTTCTTTCATGTTTATACAATACAATGACCCTCTCTAATCATCAATACTATAATTTTGCACCGGCAAAATGACATTTTTAATTTGCAGAAATGGTTCAACACTTTGATACTACCCATGAGAGAATATGCTGCTCCACCTCTTCCCAATTATGAACTCTAGTCACCAAGGGATGTCTATCCACAGATTCAGATTTAGACCAAGGGTATGAATTTTCATAGTCAAAGAGGAGAACCTTCATTCCAATGTTGGCGCATTCCTCGGCATATCTCGGGTTATCGTCAATCAATATCTCTGCTCCAAATGATCTGCAGTTCCAATTCTTGGATTAGCCCATCAAATCATATGAAAGATAGTCTTTAAAGCTTTACAGTAGAATATAGCCAATCACGGTATCAGCGCCAAATCTGCAGATATTTATGAATTGATTCTGTACGCACCTGCAGATTTCAGACTTGGGTTTAGACTCCCCATGAAGAGCAAAATGGTTCCCGAAATGAATCTGTTTAAACATTCCCGGGAAATGTATGTCGATCCACTTAAGTGTGTGATCTTTTATCACATTCTGCCGGGACCTATCCAATGATAGAAAAAAAACCACAAACTGAATTTGACTGGTAACTTAAAATGTTCAACAGAGAGAAGATCACACTGCATGTCACTTACGTCACGACTGAAAGCTCGCAATATCTTGATAGCTTGTGAAGAGTCTTATGGGCACCTGGAAGAGGATGGATCCCTTTCTTGAAATATGATGTCTTAAAGAATTCATGAACACGTATGTCAGCTGCAGAACAAGAGAGTTTAACATAGCACAATATTAGGTCCCTATCTATCCACCAAAATTGCTGACACACAAAAAGTCTTGAGAGCAACCATCATCTAGTCCCTAGATTAATGCATAGCCACATGTAAGCCGAAAAAAAATTACCTTCGTTACGAGAGCAGTTCCATATCTGCGACAAAAAAAATAAGACACACGTTTAAGGGCATATCATAGACAAGAAATATGGGATGGGTAGCCAGCAACGTATTATCTGGTGGTAAAAGGGCATATCAGAGGGTTCCTGAGTTTTATATGCTTTGGTGATAACTTGACAACAAAAATATGGAGCAGACTTCTATGGAAAACCTCTTTACCCACTCAAATTTCTGACATCGGGTTGCGGTTTTATACATAGTAAACAGGTACAGTGTAGGGTACAGTCATATAATAAGTGAAGCAGAGAACTCCTATTGTTATGATAAACCAAAGACAGGTCCACCTCGTATAGGCTTATTACATGCTAACTCAATATTTTCACCCATTCATCGCAGCATATGAGGTCACAAACTAGAAAACAAAACAATGCAAAAGCAAGAGGGTATTCCTCCATGTTGAACATGAAGATGCACGACATGTGGAAAGCTCAAGAAGAAGATATGGCTTCATTCATACCTTGAAGAACTCGTAGACATGGTATTCTGAGACTGAATGGTTTGACAAATAGCGGTCCGCGATGAACCTGTTAAGGGCCGAGACAAAGTTTCCAAGAACTGCTTACATAAAAAAGACCAGAAGATGAAGCAAAGCTTAGATTAATATCTCAATCAAGAGAGAGAAAATATGATGCCAGTGTAAGTAAGCAAGAAATTAGAGATCTCGGCAAACAAATCATCACGCATCAAACCAAAACGAAACTTAAAGTCGAGTTGGAAATAGAATCATCACAAAACACATGAAAAGACTCACAGAAATCAATTTAAGACACAGTTCAAGATAGTTCCTCGTCTGAAATTAGCAGTCCATTTGTATAGTTAGACAGATTCGAATCAGTAGACATATATTACTCAAAAGCAACAATGTGAATCAGGGATCTTCCCAGTTGCATAAGCTTTCCAGATTCTGCTACACACCGTCCAGAACATATATATACTTTCTCAGCTGATGATTATATTGTCACGTAATTGTTTAATAAGTCTAACAAAACATTTCAAAAACTGCCAAAAACATCTCAAACCTGTAAACATCAGTAAAAGAAGAAGGGAACATACCCTCATCTATGTCAACAGCCACAGCAATCTTATCATTTCCTTGGAACCTCGTCGTGTTACTACGCAGATATGAACCACGACCATCCGCTAAGTCGGTGGTTCCGCCGCCGCGTTCTTCCGTCGGCCCAGATCCCAAACCACGGAGAAGCCGCCGATGCTGAGCTAAAGCTCGCGCCTTTTGATCGGCCTTCTTGTGAGAATCGTAACAGCTTCTCAAGGTTAAGCCATTGGGCTTCCCGCCTCTATTAACCTTGAACAAGCCATTAGCGCCAGTGTTGTTGCTGTAAATATCAATGGGGTTGATTCTGTTAACGATATCTCCATCCAATCTGTTGCCGATGGATCGAGTGTAGAGCGATCGCACAAAAAGGGGATCGGTATAAGCAGACATTAGGGTTTGTGAATCGAATCGTGCGATTCTGTAGAGAATGGCGTTAGAGTGCCTCTTTAACATAACGAACTTTTCTCACATTACACCATTAGAGCAAATGAGCAAATTGAACAAGAACCCTAATCCGAATCGGGGAAGATGAAAATCGAAATCAAAGAGGAAAAAAAATTAAAAAAATCTAAGGCTAAGAGCAAATTAATTCTTAAGATAGGGAAAGGAAAAATTGAAAGAAAAAAAAAGCAATCTATAGGCTCCAACGTAATAATCATGCATTGGATGGAGCACTCACTATGCTGGAACTTAGAAACGAAAATTAGCCATTTAATTAATAATTAAAGATACAGTAATAATAATTTTTAATTAATTTACAACTATAGAAAAGTGCTCAGTCCCCTAAATTCACGCCGTAGCCTCTACATATTGAACGGCTGGAATAAAAGACACATAAATTAAGTCGGTCCAAAAATTCTGAGTTGTGTGCATTATGATGTCTTAATTTTGAAGATCCCGGTTAATCGCCTCCTAATAACAAATGATTTAAGACCGGTACAATTAATAGATCCCGGTTTTGTCAAATTGACTAATAGAACCTTGTGGTTCGCTCTTGGAGATGTTGTACGATTGGAATCTTCAAATCATGTATAAGGATTACAGTCAGGTACATGTGTTTGGTTGTGGTTTGTGCAGAATCTTTTGTAGCCACAGAGATAGTCAAAAATGTTGCAATCAGGTCATTTGAATCCGATTCCGATTCAAAGTTGTTATAGATGATACATGACTGATGTGACCCCCGAAAAAAAAAGAGGATAATACATGATGATACATTCGAAGCTCCAAATACATTATTGATTTAGTTTTGTATTAGTGGTTTATGAAAATTCTGAATACAAAAATTTGAATACCGTAAAAGAATTTTACTTTTAACTAGCGAGGACAAAACTTTTTTAGTTTGTTTTTTTGGCGGAAATATTATTCTTTTTTGTGAAACAAAAAAAAAAAAAAAGAAAGAGACGAGACAGTGTAAAATGAAAATGAGTACCGAGTCAAATTGTCTGGGACACGAATAAATTCCTCCTTTTCCCTTTTCAGCTTTTTTCATTTTTTGTTTTCGTCACAAATCATAAAAGCGACAGCAAAAATAAATAAAGGAAAGAGAGAGAGTGAAGTGTGTATTCAATTGGTCTGGAAAAATTCAAGCTTTCGTCTTCTTGTCCGCTCCGTGACGAACGATGCTCTGTCTCAAATCGGAAGCTCTCCGTGACGATCAAACTTTAGCTTCCTCTTCTTCTTCTCCCAGCACCGATCGTAGCACCGCAAATGCTACTTTTCGTCTTCCCATCAATTGGTACTCTTCTTCTTCTTCTTCCTCCACAATGCTGGATTTGTTTTTTTTCTTTCTTTGTTGCTGGTGGTGAACTATTTCCTCTGTGACAGGGGAAGCTCGATCCGGAGGTATCTGAAGAAGACTGGTACATTCTCGAGAAGATCTTACTCCTCAGGAGATGGGTCTTTGTATTTTCCTGATCTCGATGTAATGTAGCTCTCTCTCTCTCTATATATATATATATATATCTCTGCATCTTCCATTATTATCTGATTTCTTGCTTAGTATATACCTGCAGTAAATCAAGGGTTTTTTTTAGGGGTTTAGAGTCGTCACACCAAATGGTTTGAAATTGGATTTTTTTTGTTTTTTTGTGGAAGCAGGAAAGCAAGATGGTTGATCAAAGTAGTGGTAGATTTGAAGGAAAGAGCAAATTATGGTACAAATGTGAGCTTGAACAAGATGTAAGTGAGCAAGACCCCACACTCAGATTTTGTCTAATCAACCATCTTATTCAATTTGCTGGTGCTTGTGCTCCTTAACTGTTAATTTTCGATATCAAGAAATCTGCTGGCTTTTTTACTATCACATTTTAGAAAGTTTTATCATTTACACAGCTACAAGACACTTACAGATACACCATTAAAAAAAAAAAAAAATCATTAATTGTACAACCAGGAATATTGGTGCTAGGATTGTTACTAATGTTTTGGGATGATACAGGTTAAGAGACTGCAGGAGCAGTTACAAGAGGAGATTAACTTACGGTTAGCTCTAACAAGCGCAGTTGAGCACTCTAGTTCGCCGTTCATGGATTCCCCTTGCCAACTTCCCGATAAGGTCAATCCTTTACCTTACATATTGTTGTCTTTGGTTTTTGAAGTTCCTTTTAAGACATTATTACAAATTTGCAGGCACAAGAGCTTTTGGACAGCTTAGCAATACTGGAAATCACGGTGTCAAAGCTCGAACAAGAATCAGTTTCCTTGAGATATTTGCTAAGGCAAGAGAAGAACGAGCGGCGTCTCACTGAGATCCTACAAAAGAAGTCTCATTATTCTGCACCCTCAAAGCTCACTAATGCACAAAGTTTCCCTAACAAGTTGGTATGATTCTTCTATTCAAAGTTTTTTTGTGTGGATTTTATGGTGGTTTTGTAGTGTCTTAACAGATTATTCCTTTGTGTGTTTTTACAGGTGACGAGGAAAAGAGAGAGTAAACAAGTAGTTTCTGTGGATAATGAAGCTTTACAAGTAGAATGAAGAAGCAAGGAAAGATGATGTGATCTTAGCCATTGCCAGATTGCTTGATCCATATAGTCCATGAGCAAAAGTCTTTCGAAAAGCCAAGGAGTCTTGTAAGTTTCTTCATCACTCTGGTGCTCAAATCGCCTTCCAGACTCTCCGAGCTGGTCCCTGTCCCTGAGCATCTCAACATCAAGAATTCTGGAAACTTTTGACAGAATACACAGCTCTTCTACTGCAGCTCTATTTTCTATTTCGTCGTTAGCAAATTTGGCGATATCCTATTTAGTTAAAACGCGGGGTAAGGCTTTGCACTGTAGGAGAACAGTAATTAGAAGCAGCTCAATATTCTGTATTTAAACATAGAATGCGTTGTGGTCGGCTTGTAATCACACTATATGTATAAGTTGGCAAACCAATTGATCATTTATTCTCTCTATACAGTATTTTGATTTCCACTTCACAAGGCTGTGGAGAGCAATGCCCGGCCTTGTTCTTTTTATCCAATCCAAGTTGGTCTGCCACATTTTTATCCAATCCAAACGGCACCCTAATTTCACATCCATAAGCCCATACCTTTACATCCAAAAGAAAAGAGACATGAACTAGCTGGTTTGTAGTTGCCATCCCTAATTTAAAATAAAAAAAGAAGAGTTGGTCTTTTTTTTTTCGACTCATAAGAGTTGGTGTTAATTAATTACAATTGGGTCAACAAAAGATATACAAATAGTTCTGTAGTTGTATATACTTTGATTGGTAAACTGTCGAAAAACAAAATAACATAATGATAATGCGTTAGAATTTTTTTCGGATCAGTAAAAGGTACATAATTAATTGATATTATCAATCATAGTTCATGCCTTATGGTTAATCGTTTTGTCATTCTGAAAAAATTATGAAAATGACAGTTATTTTACGTTCTATTTTTACATAATATTTTCTTTTTACATATACGGCTTCGTTACTCTATAATGTTATCCATCACAAATCATAATCTTGAAAAAGGAGTTGGCTTAACCACCTCGGATCGTAAATCAACTTGTAAACATATATTACAAAAAGATGACTTTGAAGCATTTTACATGCGCCCTCATTTGTACTAACAATAAATATTGACTATGTATAAAAGATACCGAGTTGCTTAGTACCATTTTCGGTCTATATTATATTACATATTCAATCTGACCATGACCATACAAATATACTACACATCGGATATTAAAATAAAAAATAAAAAAGAAAGACTGAGGCATCCTGATTTGAAGTATTCAGCTACCCCAAGGTTTCGGATACCCGTTAAAAAATTGGTTGAAAAACTGAAGTGCATGAATTTAACATATTTGCAATTGAAAAGGTTTGGATGTCATTTTACATGTTTTTTTTTGGTCAGGAGTTACATTTATTTTCATTAAATTATTTATCTAAACAAAATAGACGACATATATTTATCTACTATGCATAATCCTAAAATACAAGAGTGGATTAGAATTATCAAATTATCATGTGACGACCCAAAAAAAGGAAATGGATCTTTTTTGTGAAATTTTTCTTTAGTTAATTTTTGGTCGAATTTTTCATGAAATAGATTTATATAGGGCTCTGGTCTATTTTTTTTGTTTGCATAGCAAAATGGTGATATTCGATCAGTTGAACACGTGATACAAAAAGATAAGATAAGATAATTCAAAAGAAAAGGAAAAAAAAAACCCAAAACGCAAATATATACCATCTATAACTAATTGCTTTAGATTTCTGAAATCCAAAAATTAATTGTATAATTTTAAGAAAATAATGCTATATTTTCTGAAATCTTAAATTTAGAACTGTCCTATATATACATCTAAACTGATCCCACAAGGTACATACATTTACTAAGGTAACTACGGGAAAAAAAAAACTCAAGAGTCAGAAAAAGAAAAAAAAAAAAGCGAGAGAGAGAGAGAGACATGGAGAAGATAATTGGGGTAGCTTATGACATTTCAGTGAAGGCTGTTTTAACGTTGTTGGAGAAGAATCTGTTGCCTGATGTTGTCATAAGGCGCCTCACGCGTCTTCTTCTCGCCGGTAGACTCCGTTCCGGTTACAAACCCACGGCGGAGTTGCAACTCTCCGACCTCCTCCGTTTCGTTAACTGTAAGTGACACACCTATTTGCTACTCTTTGATTTCGCCTTTTTAACTACTTAATTTCTTTAAAAATTTATAATTATGCTTTTGGTTTTTTTGAGTGATTGGTGTGTAACTACGAGGTACGATACGTTTGCTTCGTCTGTGCCCCACAATACTCTGTTGTTGTGGAATAAGAGGATTAATAATTAATCTCTTTTTTGTTTTTATTTTAGTTTTTATAGAGAAATGTTAAGAAAAGTGAGTATCTTTTTCTAGTTTGGATATAGTTGTTAAGAGATCCGCGAATTTCTTTTTATAAGTAGAAATTTTACATAGTCCGTTTTAATTTTGTTAGTTGTATCTCCGGGCCTTAAGCATGTAAGACTAATTCAAGGTCTTAATTATATGATACTCGTTTTTTGTTCATGATAGATTTTGCATCTTGTCTTATGAACTGTTCACAGAAAAAGAGCAATCTTCTTCTCCAATCATATATGGGCATATCGATTGTTTCAAACTCAAATTAATATGTTGAAAAAATTACATTTGAAGAAATAGGACGTTTTTTTTTCTTCTGTTCAGAAAAATGTTTATAATTAATCTCTTATATATGAATGATATATAATATATTTCAGCTATAAAGGAGATGCCTATAGCTATCAATACCGAGAAGCCCAAGACTCAACACTATGAACTACCAACTGCTTTCTTCGAACTTGTTCTTGGAAGAAACATGAAATACAGCTCTTGTTATTTCTCAAAAGATTCAAGTAGCTTAGAAGATGCAGAGGAAGCAATGTTGGCTCTCTACTGTGAAAGAGCTAAAGTGGAAGATGGACAGAGTGTTCTTGATGTCGGATGTGGCTGGGGATCTTTGTCTTTGTACATTGCTCGGAAATATAGCAAATGCAAGTTAACTGGTCTCTGCAACTCGAAAACGCAGAAAGCATTTATCGATGAGCAATGCCGGTAATTTACTTTCCTCATTACATCCATAAGCATCAAGTTTTACTATATAATAATAAGTAGACTCTAACCATAAATGGTTCTATACTTGTCATGTTTCGAAGGAAACTCGGGATTCAAAATATCGAAATTATCGTTGGGGATATTAGCACTTTTGAGCATGAAAGGACCTATGACCGTGTATTCTCCATCGAAATGTTCGAGGTTCGGATCATTTCTTTCAAGTATCTTGTCAAAGATTTGCTAAGCTTTGCTTTACTATGTTTGGATTTTCTTTTTTTTTTTTTGGTATTAGCATATGAAAAACTATGGAGAGCTTCTGAAGAAAATAGGAAGTTGGATGAAAGAAGATAGTCTTCTATTTGTTCACTATTTCTGCCATAAGACATTTGCTTACCACTTTGAGGTATAAATAAATAGTGTCAAATTGTATTAATTAGCTTCGTGTTTAATTTATTACATCACCATTTTCTCTTGGCAATAATGCTATCTTGGGGATTATGTTGATTCACTGTAGGATTTGAATGACGATGACTGGATCACAAGACACTTCTTCAGCGGAGGAACAATGCCATCCGCAAATCTTCTCCTCTATTTCCAAGTAAATTAAATTCTATAAATTTACATGTTTGTTTCATAAATCAATCCAAACATACTGTATTATTCTCTGTGTTCAGGAAGATGTTTCGATTGTAGATCATTGGCTCCTAAACGGGAAACATTATGCAAACACCAGGTAAAAAACTCTAAAAGTTGTTGTGATAAGCAATAACAAGATAATACAACTTGTGATTGATGTTACTTTATAATACTACTTTGCAGTGAAGAGTGGCTCAAAAGAATGGACAAGGAGATAGTTGCAATTAAGGAGATAATGGAAATGACTTATGGGAAAGAGGAAGCAGTCAAGTGGATGGTTTACTGGAGAACCTTCTTCATCGCAGTTGCTGAGCTCTTTGGATACAACAATGGAGAAGAGTGGATGATTTCACACTTCCTGTTCAAGAAGAAATGATTGTATCTTTCTTCTCTGAATAATCAAAATCAGTTGTTATTTATTTTTGAACTTGTGTGTGCCAAATAAAGAATACAACATTCTCCTTCTACTTTGATTTTCTTCCTAAGTAATAGATTCCATTCCTATTGTTTCCTATCAAAAAGTTGCTCAATGAACATTCATTTGTTTCAAAGAGACAAAGTTATTGACAAGAAACATTTAAGGGTCAAGTCTCATCAACTAGATCCTGTCGAATCAGCTTGCTTTGTTGGAATCAGCTCACCATCGACCTCCAAAATGCGAGTAAGAAGCTTGCCATCTAAATGCTCCTGTTTGAATACATGAAAACCGAAAAACAAAACTCAGAAAGAGAAGATTAATAATTCAACAGAGCTGATGAGAAGTAGAGTGATGAGTTACCGAGAGACAGCCTCTGTACTTTTTCCACTCAGCAACACACTCTTCTTTATCCCATTGCCCTTTCACGAATTTCTCCGAGTACCATCTGCAGAATGTAAATCAGAAATCAGGAAAGGATTCAGCTTTTAAGCCAGGTCTATACACCAGCCAAATGCTTTCATATAAAGGGGAGAATTTGAAACGAAAAAGAAGATAAACGAAACTCACTTATTGAAGCAATTGTGGTAAGCGTTTCGTAAATCGGCGCAGGGCGAGGTAGAGGAGTGAGCTGAAGTTGATTCCTTTTTCTTCAACAAGCCCATCGTCGCAATCACTTATAATTTGTCAGCTTGGCAATTTTGAAAATCCACCAATCCTGAGAAAGAAATAATGTAAACAATGACAATATCAATCTAACGCAAGCTTCCTTACTCATCAGGCATCACAGACAGAGGAATAAAACCGAACATAACTAAAAGACGAATGATCAAACTAAAAAATGGAGAAAAGAGGAACAAAGTCATAAAATAGTAACACTGAAAGATTCCTTGACCAAAAATAAAATGAAACAATCTAAGAGACGCCACCAATAGAGAAAGCATTCAGAATTCTAGATCACAAAGATTAAAACATGATCCTTGCACATTGTCTAAAGACGTATCTTTTTTTTGTCAAATTCAGTACTGATGCCTTGTAAAGTTGCCCCCATGAAATGTAATTAATCAATTGATGTCTTTCTTTCAAAGATCAAACATATGTTTGTCTGAAGAGTATACAAACAGAAATCAAATAAAGATGATTCAGGATTAAAATCGAACAATACAAAGCTTAAAAATTTGAAGCTTTTATGAAAGAGTTATAATACGCAAAACCAGAAATGACTTTAAAAATTTGAAATTTACCCTGAATCAGATCGGAGAAGGAAGTCAAAAATTTGATTAAACCCGGATAAGAAGATGACCGAACTATGTCTCTTTGGGTAAACCCGTAAACATCAGATTACACGAGATTGTGAGCAGTCGTTGAACTCTCTGTATCACTATCAGACCAGACGACGACGACGACGAAGCTTCGGAGAAGTGTGGGAAAATGCAACCGACGTCGTTTTCGCTAGACAAATACCCTAGACATGAAAACGCCGTCGTTCTAAGTAAATTATAATTAAAATAATATATTAAACGTCACGTACAAAAAGGAATCACTTGTGATGGTCATCATCATCATCATCATCTCGCGTGGCGTACCATAAAAGTATAAAACACAAGTGATTCCTTTCACTGCAACTTATTTATTTATTTATTTCATTTATATAGAAGATATATAAAGGATCCGAGTGCGACAGAAGAAAAAAGAAGAAACTCACATTTGCACAAAAGCCCTCTCTGTGAACAAAATGGATCAGTTCAAAGGTCAGCCTCGTCTCCCAAAGTTCGCCGTCCCCAAGCGCTACGATCTCCGTCTCAATCCCGATCTCTCCGCCTGCACCTTCTCCGGAACCGTTGCCATCGATCTTGATATAGTCGCCGATACTCGTTTCATCGTTCTCAACGCAGCTGATCTCTCCGTCAACGATGCCTCCGTCTCCTTCACTCCTCCTACTTCCTCCAAGGTATTTATTTCCCATTCCTTTCTTTCGATCGCCTTCATCTTCTCGGGACGGGATTGGATGTCATCTACACAGAAGTAGGAGAAAAATATTGGATTTGTGTAGTTATTTCTGTGTTTAACATACACTAAATTGGTAGAATTAGCAATAGTTTATGTGGTTGCTTCTTATGCCTCGTTTCTGAAATTCAAGGGATTTGGGTTTATCAATTCCGTTGCTTTTTGGTTAGCAGGCGCTCGCAGCTCCAAAAGTTTCTCTCTTTGAGGAGGATGAGATCATGGTGCTCGAGTTTGGTGAGATTCTTCCCCATGGAGTGGGAGTTCTACAAATGGGGTTCAATGGGGTACTGAATGACAAAATGAAGGGATTCTACAAAAGGTATAGCATCGGGTTTCTCTCTGTAAGTAGAAATTCACGTATATATATATAAGGGTTAGTCCTCAAAGTATCGTCTTTACTCTCGGTGCAGTACCTATGAACATAATGGCGAGAAGAAGAATATGGCAGTTACCCAGTTTGAACCAGCTGATGCTAGGAGATGCTTCCCATGCTGGGATGAACCTGCTTGCAAGGTTCCACCTCTTCTTTCTCTTTGTCCCCTCTTTGAGGGTACCAAAGTGGTATTTTGTTTTTCTTTTTCTGTATCAATTCATATTGACACACTGTGCAACAGGCTACCTTCAAGATTACATTAGAGGTGCCAACTGAATTAGTGGCTCTCTCCAATATGCCCGTCATGGAGGAGAAAGTTAATGGGAATCTGAAGATTGTCTCCTACCAAGAGTCACCAATTATGTCTACCTATTTGGTAGCAATTGTTGTTGGTTTGTTTGACTACGTTGAAGATCATACATCCGATGGTAAAATTCATTTTATTCATAATTATCTTCCGTCTTGTCAAAGCTCTTAATCAAGTGCCATCTTTTACTCAGGAATCAAAGTCAGGGTATACTGTCAAGTGGGCAAAGCCGACCAAGGCAAATTTGCATTGGATGTTGGTGCGAAGACTTTGGATCTGTTCAAAGAGTGAGTCCTTCGTCCGATATTTGAAACTTTATGTGCATGCGTATTTTGGATGTATCACAGCCTCGCTTAGACATTTAGGCGTGTATCATATTCGTTGCAAAATGACTCCAATCATACTTGTAGGTACTTTGCTGTGCCATATCCCCTTCCCAAAATGGATATGATTGCAATACCGGATTTTGCTGCTGGAGCGATGGAGAATTATGGTTTAGTTACATACCGTGAAACAGCTCTTCTCTATGATGAGCAACATTCAGCAGCATCTAATAAACAGAGGGTACTGCAAACATGTCCTTATATTTTCTAGAGGAAATTTGGTTGTGCGATGTTGTGCAATAATCTAAATCAGTTAATTTCTGCTGTTAGGTTGCCACTGTAGTTGCCCATGAGCTAGCCCACCAGTGGTTTGGGAATCTTGTCACTATGGAATGGTGGACTCATCTATGGCTGAACGAGGGTTTTGCTACTTGGGTACATTGCAAATTTAGCTCTTCGTATTAATAACGATTTTGAGATTTGTTGTGAATGTATTGTTACTCTTAATCTGTTTCAGGTCAGCTACTTGGCTACTGATAGTTTGTTCCCTGAATGGGAAATCTGGACCCAGTTTTTAGATGAATCTACTGAGGGTCTAAGGCTAGATGGGCTTGAGGAGTCCCACCCGATAGAGGTAACCAAAATAACTAACTAGTTATTAGGTGGGACACAATAATGAATACTGTTGTCAATACATGTGTCGTGAAACTTTTTTCCTTTCACTATCAAGTATCAATCCCAGATATACTCTATTCCCCATTTATCATAACTCCGAAAATTTCCTCAGGTGGAGGTTAATCATGCTGCTGAAATTGACGAAATATTTGATGCCATAAGCTACAGGAAGGGTGCATCTGTCATCCGCATGCTACAAAGCTATCTTGGTGCTGAAGTTTTTCAGGTTCTGCTCATGTTCATCTTCTTCTGTTGGAAAAGCAATTATAGAACTGTTGCACTCTGATAAATATGAGATTTGCAGCTTTTATCTTCTTATATTATGCATGGAATTCATGGTGGCTTCGATTTTCATTTTCCCTGATGTATCAAAACTTCTTACCCTACTTGTATTGCTTTGGTGAGCAGAAGTCGCTTGCTGCATACATTAAAAATCACGCGTATTCAAACGCAAAGACAGAAGACTTATGGACTGCTTTGGAAGGGGGGTCAGGAGAACCTGTGAACAAGCTTATGAGTTCTTGGACAAAACAAAAAGGATATCCTGTTGTCTCAGCCAAAATTAAAGATGGAAAGTTGGAACTTGAGCAGGTTCTTAGACTTATTTCCCTTGCTAGATGTCCTGTTTATACCCTTTATATATGCCACTAAGGTTGGAGTTTTATTATGGTATCTTGTGCATGATCAACTAACTAGATTCGCTTTAAATTACAGTCTCGTTTCTTGTCAAGCGGTTCTCCTGGGGAAGGACAATGGATTGTGCCAGTAACCTTGTGCTGTGGATCATATGACATGCGCAAAAACTTCTTATTAGAATCCAAATCTGGAGCATATGATCTAAAGGAATTATTGGGCTGCTCCATTGCTGATGGTAGTGGCAAAACCAATGCGACATGTTCTTGGATAAAAATCAATGTCGATCAGGCTGGATTCTATAGGGTGAAATATGATGACAGCCTTGCGGCTGGACTCAGAAATGCAACAGAGAGCAAAAGCTTGACCTCTATCGATAGATATGGTAATTTAACCTCGCAGAAATCTGTATTCTGGTTGACATAATGGAATTTCTTTGGAGATGAACTATCCTGCTTTTTCCTTCACAGGTATTTTGGATGATTCTTTCGCACTTTCTATGGCTCTTCAGCAATCCCTGGCCTCGTTGCTCACTTTGATTAGCGCTTACAAGAAGGAACTTGACTATACTGTGCTGTCAAACCTCATTGTTGTAAGGATCTGCCTTTTTTTGTCTTTATTTTTCCCTTGGTTCATAATCTTGCTTTTGCCGCTGGCTCTTACTCTTCCTCCATACAGATAAGCTACAAAGTTGTGAAGATTGGAGCAGATGCAAATCTGGAACTGATGTCTGCGATTAAACAATTTTTCATCGGCGTTTTCCAATTTGCTGCTGGGTATGTTGTTTGACCCATATACAGAATTTTGATTCATCAACATAAAAATATTAGAGATAACTTTATGTTCTATTTACCAACCCAAAAAAAAAATCAATGCTGTTACAATGTTCATTGTTCTTACAGGAAACTTGGTTGGGACCCAAAACAAGGGGAGAGCCATCTAGATGCTATGCTGAGAGGGGAAATTTTAACTGCACTTGCTGTCTTTGGGCATGAGGAGACACTAAAGGAAGCAGTTCGAAGATTTGATGCATTCTTAGCTGATAGGAACACTTCGCTTCTGCCTCCTGACCTTAGAAGGGTTTGTTTCTTATTATTTAAACCCAACTACGCATTGAAAGTGGAATGGTGACCTTATTGTTAATTTTTGTATTGGTTGTGTGTTTCGCAGGCTGCTTATGTTGCTGTAATGCAGAGAGCCAACAAGTCGGACAAATCTGGTTATGAGTCTCTTCTGAGAGTTTATAGGGAAACAGACCTCAGCCAGGAGAAAACACGAATCTTAGGTAACTGATCTTTGCAGAGAATAAATAAACAACAAATTGTTATTCAACTACTAATGTTTCCTTTGTGGTTATGCAGGTACTTTAGCATCTTGCCCAGATCCTGATGTAGTTCAAGATGTGCTTAACTTCGTATTGTCTGACGAGGTATAATATATGGATTTTGGCATGCAACTCTGTAGAGTTAGGACATATAAGTATTCACTTTATGAACTTAACCAGCAGCAAATATCTGATCTGGGTTTCTTATTTCTTTAGGTCCGCAATCAGGATGCACTTTATGGACTTTCCGGTGTAAGTTGGGAAGGACGTGAAGTAGCCTGGAAATGGCTAAAGGAGAAGTGGGAGTATATAGGAGCCACATGGGGTTCTGGATTCCTCATTACGCGCTTCATAAGTGCAGTTGTATCACCGGTTTGTTCTTCTTAGAAAACCTTCTATGCATCCATAAACTGCTCTTGATTACTTTTTTTTTGTGTTTAGCTTGCTCATTGGATTTCTTTTGTGTTGATGATCTCAGTTTGCGTCGATTGAGAAAGCCAAAGAAGCGGAGGAGTTTTTTGCAACGAGATCAAAGCCTTCGATGGCAAGAACCTTGAAGCAGAGCATCGAAAGAGTTCATATTAACGCCAATTGGGTGGAGAGTATCAGGAAGGAAGATAATCTCACACAGCTCGTTGCTCAGCTCTCTCAAAACTAAAAGTTTTTTTTATTTAACTCAAATTGTGCGTCAAGTTTTTCTCTAGAGTTAACTAAAATTATCTGTGCCTATGGTCATGTTCCATTTGCAAACCTTTGTTGTTTCTTCTTCTCAACACTGAATTTTAAAATCATGTGACTATGGTCATGTTCCATATGCAAACCGTCAAACTTGAATTAGTTTTTATTTTTTTTTTTGAATCTAAAGTTAAATTATATTTAAAAGAAAAAATAAACGTTTTACAATTTGATTGAAAGTTCTCAATCAATAAAGTTGGCTTTTGGAAGTTCGTTTCTACTCGAAGTGACTAGTACTTCGAAGATAGGCAATGAATGTACCAAAGGTAGATAGAGGGTCGAAATGTAAACTCATTTGTCTAATACTCCGTTTTAACCGTCGAAATTTGGTAGATATACGTAAAAAGGTATCTAGTCTAGTTTTCAATTCAACGGCTTCACAATACCAAAATGGGAAAAATGCCCATTCAAATCTAGCCCTTAACTATATAAGGTGGTATACTTTGAGGGGAGAGTTAATATACTTAGGCTTAGAAAACTGACGTTCACATTGTCTAAGCCCATGATTACCATTACTGACAAAGAGCAACATAAACTTTAGTACACAATCATACTCTCGTCTCCAAAAGTTTGGTTAGAAATCGACTCCCAACAAAACTCAAATATACACTCTGTAAAGTCCTCACTCCTCGGGTGGGTCTTCAAATTTTTAGAAATAAAAGTTTGATACACACAGACGAAGGCCAAAGTATAAAAAAAAATAAGAGAGTTAAAATGTCGCAGTAAAACTGCCACTAGAGAAGGCAACATTACTATAGCCAACCTGGGCAGCTTTTTTTATATAACACAAAGACTTACTCTAATCTCTTATTTTCCCCCCTTCTCTTTCTTCTTCTTCTAATACACAGAACAATCAGGAAAGGCTAACCATTGTTAATCTCCCAACTTCTCTTCTTCTCACACTTTTTTCTTCTACCCAAACCATTTTGACTCTTCTCCTGTTTCAACTTCTGGGCTTGCTGTACATTTTCTTTTTAAAAATAGAAAGGCGTAAGATAAATTTCCTAAAGCCTGAGGAAGACCATATATCTTGAATTACTTGTTTTGGTTATTTCAAATAATCATTGGATCATCCATCGATGACACCATCTGAGCCTCTGCTGTTTCCCCGCTTATCCGCTCCACAGGCATCGCCTCAGCTGCACACAGTTATGATTATATCATTCTTTCACTATTTAAAATAAAAAAGAGATATTTGGGCGTTTACATAGAATATATGTATATATTTATGAGGTTGCCGTTAAGCCGTATAAGTGGAAGAAGCTTTTGGAACTGAACATGCAAAAAAAGGCAAACGAACGAAGCATGGAATTTTTCCAGTGATGAAACACAACTCACCTGGTGATCGATCCAGAGACATAGTTCTTGCCATCTCTACAAAGTTGTAAAAAGAACGATTCAGATTCTTCCTAATGTCTGATCAACAATAATTTCTTGTATCTCATTTACTTAAACAGATTATTAGGGACTTCTCATTGACAAGAAAAATGCAGGAGTCAAAGTCCAAGGTTCTACCAAGTGATTGACGCAACCCTTTCACAGCGTCAAAGTTCTTGTATGTGTAGCCAACAAAACTTAAATCCTTGGGAGCAAGATGCTGCACAAAATGGAAAACGTTGTCATTCAAAATTGAGACATCTAAAGAAATCAGGTTTTATATCAGACGAAAATATTTATCAACCAACAACACTTGATGATGCTTTCTTGTATCTAACACGCAGCAACATTACTATAGTTTGGAGAAATAACATCCATTTACAATTCCTTGCAAATAAACATGCTGGATAATGCAGACACTAGTAGTAATTACAAACCTTCCTGGAGGTACCCGATTTAGTTCTTTCAGGCGCAGGAGAATTCACCTGAGATGATTATTGAGAAATTCAGTAAGGGCCTCACATATCATAAAAATATTACCCAAACTTCACTTGATATATCCTTTTATAGCCAATAAAATATCCTATATGGATCAAAGAGTGGCTATTATTCATCAATTCACAAACAAACAAACAAAATTATTACGTATTATTCACTCAATACGAATGTGGTTTTAAGAGAATCACTCCCTTAAAATAGAATTATCATTTATCACCATCGTCACATGTATAAGCCGCATATTTGAAACTAATGCAAAATAAGATAGAACATGTCACGTCAAACTCATTTTAGGAAATTCTAAACTTATGTAGAGCCTTAATAATGGTATAAGTTATGATAGCTCCTAAGGTAATATGAGAGAAGTCTAATTTTCCAGGAAACATTGTTCTAACAATGCAAGAAAACGAAAAGAAAGAATTTACGGCATACTTCATCAAACTTCATAAAGTTTTGTGTATCTAGCTCGTCATTCACTTCTGGTTTGTAAGCAGCCTCCATTTCATAGAGCTTTTCCCACACAACATCCTTGAACCAGGGATGATCCTGACGCAAATTTAAGGTACAAGTTAATAAAGAAAAATGACGAGTCTAATCACAAGTACTACTAAATCTTCTCATGAAACATCCTTACCTTGATTTGCTGAGCTCCTCCTCCAGTGCCAAGTCTATGGTCGACGTTGCACAGCAACCTGCAGACAAGATCCTTTGCCTCCGATGACAACTTAGCATCCTCGGGAAATTTCAAATGATTTCTCCAATGGACAATCTAGCAGAAAGAAAAGAATTAAGACTTCATGAACATGATCACTGAACCTACAAGGAAAATGTCCAGTTTTCTATTCTGCATCTACAGAGAAAAAACGAATACAAAATAAATTGACGATGGAAACTTTACCCAATAATCAATGCATAGTTGTCAAAAATATATGAAAAGATTTTAACATGAGATTTTATGCTAACTCGGATGCACATCAAGTTTGAGTAGGACACAAGTCATATTCTTCAAGGTCGACTATTTGAAACTTTTCACAGAGAAAACTCACAGGGATAGTGAACATAACAGCAAAATGTAATACCTTTCTGCATGTCGATATTGGGTCATCAGCATAAAAAGGAGGATACCCAACGAGCATTTCGTACATAATTGCACCTAATGACCACCTAAGAGAAAAGAAATCAAAGGCATCTAAACACCAGCCCAGGAGGTTATGGAACATTGCGGAATGACAAGAAAACGACAACCTGTACAAACGGTTGCTAGCATAGAAGAATTTAAAGAGCACTATCAAAAGAGGATAAAGGCATGTACCATCGTAATAGTTCATTTTGAAAATGATAAACTGTTAAACAAACCAACTAACCAATCACATTCCATGCCATATCCTTTCTTCAGCAAAACTTCAGGAGCAATATAGTCAGGTGTTCCCACAGTCGAAAATGCCTTTTAAAAAGGAGAAACCAATCAGAGAGCAATACCGCCAGTTGTTGCCACGCAAATTTCAACAGAAGAACAACGTACTAGTTTTCTGCGATTCATCTGCCAATGCTGAAGTTGTTCCTGGGGACTGCGCCAGCTTCTTTTGTTATCAGTATCGGGAAAACATCCATCAACATCCATAGGTTCTGTAACAGCTTCATCATCGGTGGCCCGATTCTCCTGAATTGAAGGTAAAGTTCTACAATCAAGAGGCTTACAAAGCCCAAAGTCCGAAAGTTTCATGTGTCCATCTTTGTCCAAAAGAAGGTTGTCAGGTTTGATGTCCCTGCAAAAAGAATGAAACAAACAGGTCCACCAAGATGTACGTAAATATCACTGTTTGCACCAAAAGCTTGAAAACTAGATAATTTCCAAAAGCCACCTATGAATATAGTTGTATCTGTGAATGGATTCAATGGCCAGGACACTTTGAGCAATATAAAATCTGGCAACATCTTCATGTAATGTATCCTCCCTCATGAGCAAAGTCATCATATCACCACCAGGGAGGTATTCCATAATCAGATATAGATACTCGGCATCCTGAAATGAATAGTAGAGTTTCACTATATAATGGCTTGCAACCTCGGCCAGCAGGTTTCTCTCTGCTCTGACATGTTCCACCTACAAAACGTACATTAATTTAATCAGAGACTAGAAAGAGAAAGAGCCAGGTACGTTAATTCAGAGAAAACCATAAACATAGTTTGTCTTAACTGTAAAAGAGAATACAGTTCAAAGAATATGCTTGTTATTTGATATGTTGGCATATGTCTACAGTACAAGCAAGGGGCACACTATTCCAATTGTTTAAGAAGTTTACCTGTCCTCTCATGACCATTTCAGATTTCTTTAACTTCTTCATAGCATAAATATTTCCAGACTTTTTCTCCCGACATAAGCGAACCTGGAAGCCATAATCATTAAGAAAGAACCAAACAAAGAATTATCCGACTAGTATAAAAAAAAAAAGAGTATCCCGGCTAGTTTTTGCTCGAACAGCAAGAATTTGTAAGAAAATAAAAAGGTACAGGCAGTATTCTGTCGTACAACCTCACCAAAAGCACCTCTTCCGATGATTGTCAAAAGCTCAAAGTCATCAACACTTATCTTGTTCCTTTTAAGCCTCATAAACTCTGTCTCTTTTCTCTCCAGATCTTTAATCATGGTGATCTGCTCCTCCTTTGGCACTCCAGAAGAAGCTAACTTTCTTTCCAAAATCCATCGTCTGCAAAAGATAAAACAATGTGGTTACACAATGCAAGCAGCTTCTTTCACGACTTTATTAGAGTAATACAGAAATGATAATCGCTTCATTATTCTTTCTTATCAAGTTCGCTAACCACCATTAAAATCAGGAATTACTAATTGATTCAGATAATTTGGTTGCTTCACGCAGCAAAGAGAAACGTTGGCAGTACAACAGAGTAATCAGCATGCTTATCATCAAAGAGAAACAAAGGGATTCACGGGACAAGGCAAAAGGTAATCAAGCTCACACAACTAATTTTGCCCTAAACAATGTCTCCAAAATCAAATCAAAACGAACTTAAAAAACGATATTTCCAAATCTCAAATCTCTCTAAAGTGAAATGAAAAAAAAAAGAAGAACAAAACGGAATTAGAGACGATATTTACCGCTCTTTCCTATCCTGAATGTTCTTCGTCTGAGCTCGGTAGTGATTCTCGATGTACTGCTTCGCAGCCGCCACTTTCTCCATGGTCAAGCTCGATCCCAGCACCTCCTCGTCCGTACCGCCCTCTTCCTCCTGTATATCCTCCATCTCCTCTCTCTCTCTCTCCACAGTCTTCTTCTTCTTCTTCTTCTTCTTCTTCTTCTTCTCTCTTCCTTTTTGGATATAAATAGGTCTCTCGACGGGAATGACTATGGAAAGCACCTCTCTCTCTCACTCTCTCTCGCTCTGGAAATTCTTAAAGCGATGATGAGAGGAGACGGAGGATTTTACTATTTTACCCTCGGATGATGAGCCCCTAAGGGACACGTGTCGACTTTATATCGAAATGGCACTCCGTATATGGGAAAGATTCAGAAATACATCATGAGATATATATACATACAAAGCAGTCTCAGAAGATTTGTTTTATTTTCTTTATTTGATTATCAGATAAAGTTTCTAACGATTATTGTCAGGAGGGAGAGTCGTAGAGAAAAATAAGAGACTCACGCGCTCGCGATTGCGCGTGGCTGTAATTTCCAGATATGTTTGGTTGGAGAGAGAGTGTGTCGCTATCAGGGTCATAATCGGAATTTGAGGTTCGTCTTAATAGTTTATACAACGAAGCTGAAGATTTTTAGCTTCGTGATTGGATCGTGGTTGTCACACGCGCATAGGATTCGATGGATTGTGAATCTTGTTATAATAAGTATTTAACTATTATTCAAGAAACAAAAATCTAGCTGTGTCTGCCTTCTGTTTTAATTTTAAGAAAACTTTTTAGATCTTAAAATTCTTAAGTATGTGTTTAGATTTTCTACTATCTCTACTTTTGTACGCAGTCTATTCAAAATAAATACCCTTATCTGCATATATACGGACTTCTCAATTTGTTTTCAAACGTGTGTGAGATTGTTAACAGACCAATTATATTGAAACGGAAAAGGAAATTTACACCACTTTATCATTTTGCAAAACTTCAATCATTTGCAGAATATGAATTTTCTATCTCATTGCCCATTTTCTATTCCTTATATGTTTGAGCATATTGGTTATCCACGTTTAGATTGAATTAGTCGGTCTACTCTTAACTTTTTGTTTTCTTAATACATTCATGATACTACTATAATACGGAGTAGTTTATATTTTATGTAGTGCTCCTAAATACAGTTCACATTTTTTTGCTAGGAAATACCATTTCACATAGTTTTAACCATTTGTCAACATAGTGTTTTTACACATATACATGATGATAAATTTCAGTCTCACATAACATAACACTCAAGAAATCATATAACGTTATATGTCAAACGTTATCGGATAGACCAATCATGGATTTTAAAAGCTATGTTTTTCAAGTCATTATTAGGAATATAAATTAGGTAGAGACGATCTTTTTTATATGTTTTTCTTCTTTTGGGTATATGAATGAGCAGAAAGCTATGTAAACTATCAAAATTAAAAAGAGAAAAAAAATGTATTATCTTGTCTTTACAAGTAAAGAAAGAGAGAAAGGTGGTGGTGGTCTAGCTGTTAGAGGGAGCAGACCGTCAGAATGCTGCGTTGTAATCATAATTAGATACAATGAAATTCACAACAACAACAAAAGGTAAAAAAGTGTTTTGTCCATTTTTTCCCAACGACTTACACGTGGCATCATGTCAATGGCTGAGTTTAATCAAACGTAAATGGTTTTGGAGTTTAGTTCATCAGAACTTCAGGGTAGATCAAAGGAGATAAAAGGAAGGGCAAGTGGGCTTTTGTACTTTTTGTTGCGGAATTGAATGTTACACATGCAAGTTCAGAAGATTCACTATTCATATGTGCGCATATTGTTTTGTTTATGTCATTTATTTTTCTAAACAAGTAACATTATTATCTGCAGGAATAATTCTTTGGTTCATTCTCTGAAAAGCAATTAACAACCATGCTACATTATAGAAAAGAGAGATCAGAGTTATATATGTCATAACTCATGATGTTTTGCAAATTATCTATCACTCAAAATCAATAAAAATGGTTACATACTTACATGGGTCAAGGAAATATATATATATATATATATATATATATATATAACAAGCTATATTCTTGTTTTTTATGTGAACTATTATTCAAATACCGTATAAATATGATAAAGTGACAAACAATAAGACTGGAGCTCGTACATTCATATTTTAAACTAGCGTTGTAGTCTTGTAGACGATACGATTTTTTCTCTCTCTCTCTTTGAGAAGGATACAAATAGAGCTCGTGAACACAGGAAATAAACGGTGAAAGAAAATTAGAGAGTTGAAAAACAAAACAAAAATGACGTTTTGGTATTATCTTCTTGTTGTATTTTACGTGACGATTGAGGAAAATGCCAACTCGACAAGTTTCTTTTATTAGTAGTTTATTAGCAAAGAGCCATTGTCGACACCAGCCGTGAAGTATGAAACACCACTTTAATAGCAAGGCATGCCCGATTCTTTCTATAAAGACGTTCTATATCACTTATTTATTATAAAAATGGGATTATTGTATTTGATTTCATATGTACACATATATTTGACAGCCTTATTATATGACACAAACACAAAAAGGCTCGCTAACTAATCGTCTGGCATCTGAATTCTTGTATTACAAGCCATTGATATCAATTTTGTTGTCATTTCGTCTATGGTAGTCAAATTGTAACCAATGATCTTTGGGTTTGGAACTTTGGAGACTTTTTATTAGAGTTCTCCAGTATTTTTTTTTTCATTTGGTATAAATACTGTAGTTTTGGTAACTTAAAAAGTGAAGAATTCGAGTATTTTTTTTGGTACCATTGTAAAGATTATTACAGTGATTTAAATTCGAAATTTCTACGTGAATACGGAAAGATTATAAATTATGCAAAAATTGTATATGAAAAAAGAAACTTTAACGGAAAGGAAATTTTAACAGATCATCACCTCGTCCATTTTTGACTCCTTAAAATCAGAAATAAATAACGAAGTGCTGTATCATAAGTGAAGAACATCTGAACATCATTGAACTTGTAACGATTTCAATCAAGTCAAGTAAGCGTACATTGAGAATTGAGATTATGCAAGTTAAAGGGTTTGAAACCATCACATAGCCAACTTTCAAGCAAAACATCTATCTATTAACATATTAGAGCTGTAACATAGGAGCTTTTGGCATCTTAAGAGTCAACAAAACAACCGAGGCAAAAAACAAAAAAAAACAAATCGGAGTTTTTGAGATTCCAAAACTCAGGCAAGCGATTTTCCTGACCATTCTCGTTCCCTGCGTTTTTGTTTGGCTTGCATTTTGTTGAACTTTTCTTTTCCCTTTTCAAGAAGAGGGTCTACCACAACATACGCATCTGGATCATCCTTGCGTGACATTTTATCCTGCAAGATAGTTTCACTTTTTTAGAACATATACATATATAGCTCAAGCTTCTGATGAATATATCTGTTATTAGCATCCCCTAGTCTATGAACACTACTGGAATTTTCGATTTCAGCGATAGCTAAAGAAAGGGAACGAAGTAGTTTAGAAGTACATCCACTGGAACCGCACTCAAATGAGATGGAATCTTAGAGATTACCTTGCCACTCTCGGGTGCAAACTTGAGCTTTACTTTCTTCCAATCAGAGACATCTTCTTCTTTATTGTCTCCTGGTTCACTACTCGAGGTAAACGGTTTTGCAGAAATGGACTGCTTAAATTTCTCGAGTTTTGCCAATACCTAAAGAGCCAGAGGGAAACAATGATCAGTGCAAATAAATTGTCTTCCAAGAACGTTTATCTGAAAAACTAGAGTTTACTTTTCGGGAATAAGTATGCCGGTCACAAGAACAGTCACTGATTTGGTAAATGAGCAAAGGGAGTAGAGAATCAATAAGAAAATAGATTTTAAAATTTAAGCTAGAAATTCTTGTAAACAACTCACAGCATCCTCATTTCCTTGCAGTCTGCGCTTTTTCAACTTATGTAACTGCCTTGCGCGTTCAGAAGCGTTGTAAAGCTGTAAATCAATGTCTCCTTTCTCCATTCGTTCGGCTTTGGCTTCTGAACCTATTCCCTTTCTCTTCAAGGATAACTTTTCCATCCTTGGTTTCTCGTCTTCACTACTTGCAACATCAGACCTGTAAATAGCAAAACAAATGAGTCAATGTCTTGTGTTACTGCTTATGCCACATGAATTGAAGTAAAACAGATTTGAACATATATCCCACACAAAGCAAATTCGTTCGAAAGGTTTTCATCACTAATCAATACATTGGACATAGCTGAGAGCATTCATGGCATCTTTAATTAGATATGAAAATCTTATACTTGAAGTCATTTGATAATGTGAACTATTTGTTTTCGCAACCTTGAACACACAAAAAACGAGCCAGACGTATTGACTTCCACACAAAACATGGGTGGCAAATGATATAGAGACGATTAGGTATAATTGTGGGTGTCATTACCTTTGAATAGATGCTTCAGGGCCTTTCACACTAGAGCTCTCTGTTAATAGAACAACCACAAGGAAAACTAATTAGAATATATACAGAAATAACTAGAGAAAAAAAAATGTAATTATTTCTCTCTGGCGATACTTGGTGCAAAATCTAAAACCATCAAACCGTGTCATAAACAGTTAGCAGCCCTAAGCACAGATATGAGTTGGTTTGAACTTTTATTATGCAATCATAGGTTTAACATAGAGAGCTGGGATAATAATTACTCTTTTTCTGAGTTGGTTTTGAAGGCGTATCTCCCATCTCTTTCCTTCTGTTAAGCACTTGATTCCTCATCTTTGCATCAAATTTAGTCTCATCTTCATCATCATCGTCATCATCACTATGTCCAACTGAATTAGATACAGACAAGCTTTTATCATTTTGAGCGGCTTCTTTCTTCGAACTCAGAGCTTCCCGCACAGACAGCACCTCCTTCGAGTCAGATGCATTCTGAAATGTAGATAAGGTTTCCAATATACATCAGAAAGTCCTAATTTCTTGTGAAAACAAAGACCGGGACCAATACAGAGAAGCTTCAGTATTTGGTCTGATGCCTATAATAGACTACTAGGCAGACTACACAGAGAACGGTAAGTAATCATTACATACAGCAACCAGGAGGACAAGCACAATACTTATTCGCAACACTGTATACAGACAGGCCTACACTTTCACACACAATAGGGAATGAATAAGGGAAAAGAAAATGCCAGCAAACAAGATGATTGTATTATTACCCGTTCTGTAGCTTCTGCCTTCAAAAGTCGAGGATCGTTCAACACGTCATGACTGCTCTTAATCTTTTGCTTAACAACTGCCAGTTCCTTCTCCTCTTCCTCAGCTTCTTCTCCGAATGACAATAAATTCAATTTCCTGATTGTAGCAAAGACAACAAAAGGATAAAAAATTCAAAGAACAGCCACACGACAGATATAGTTAAATTTTCGATTGTCCATGGATAACATCTTACTTCACGGGCTTCTTTTGGGGTTCCTTGACTTCAGCAACAGGTTCATTTGATGCCTTTGCTAACACTCTAGGAACAATATCTTCAAAAGGATTCCACAAAACCTTATGTAGAAAGAAAAAAACAAGCAAGTCACAAGACTGACAAACTGGAGAATAATATCATAGAACATCCTCAATAAGAGGACATAAACATTGTCGTATAATAGCATGTAGCACTACAATAGATTTAGTATGTACGAACTCTTACCTCCACAGATAATATTTTTGGGGCAGGATCCAGAGGACGATCGTCCTTACCAGTGTCAACCTCTCCTAGTCTTAGAAGATTGAAGACTGAATCACCCGTCACCTATAGGAATAAGAAACACAGCTAAAAATGATCACGATCTTGGAAAGAATAGTTGGACGAAGCAGAACAAACAAAAAAAAAAACCAATTTTTTTTACCTTGCCAAAGATAGTGTGCTTCTTCTCAAGCCAATCACATTTATCCAAAGTGAAAAAGAACTGGCTTCCATTTGAATTCGGCGAGCTCGCATTAGCCATGGCCACAATCCCTCGGTGGTTAAATCTCAGTCTTGAATGGAATTCATCGGCAAAGACATCTCCGTATATACTATCGCCACCTGTTACATATCACTCGTGAACAGTCAATAGACCCGATCCAGCGAGAAAATCAGAAGCTAAAAGGAGAAAAACAAGCGAGCAGGGTAAGGAAATTGACTCATACAGACTAACACTAAGACATTATCAGAAGGGGCGTGGATAAATTACCGGTGCCGGAGCCGGTGGGGTCACCGCCTTGAACGAGAAATCCGGGAATAACACGGTGGAAGATGGTGTTGTCGAAGTAACCCTCGAGGCATAGTTGAACGAAGTTCCGTACGGATTTGGGCGCTTCCTTCGGCCATAGCTCGATATCGATTGGGCCATGAGTTGTATTTACAATGACCTTTCCCTTTGTCGGTGGCTCTAGCACGTAAATCGTCGACATCTCCTCCTCTCCTCCCGCTTCTTCTTCTTCTTCCTCTTCTCCGAGATGCCTCTCACTTTTTCCGTTTTCTAGCTGAGCTTCTCCGAGAGACGCAGGTTCCTTCGTTGGGTTTAGAAGCAAACCAAGAGATTAAAAATTAGGAGCGGCCAATTCGACAATCAAGCCCAGCCCATTATTCAACCAAAAACAAATATAGCCCAGCCCATTATTTAACCAAAAACAAATTTGGGAAAAATGCCACACAAAAAGAAGAAACAAAATTGACATATATTTTCAACCCACACCCATTTACAACATAAAACGCATAAACGCATCAACACAATCTTTACCGGGGTTCGTTTATATATATCTAAATCAAAGATTTCGGCCATCACTCGAAGTTTCGAACGAAAATGATAAAAAATTATTTAGAATTGGTAAGAAAACTTTCCGAGACATGGTCCCATCGTCCCGTGCATGCCTGATGCCTATCCCTATGTGTAAGATCAATAAACAATAGAAAGTCATGGAGCTACAGTTGAGTAAGTAATGCTCCAATGTTTGGACGACCTTATCTCTTTTAAGTCTCCAACTTCAAAATTCAGGAAAGAAAAGTCAATGTTAACAAATGCAACATAAGTAGAAACTACATGCACTGCAGACAAAACATGCGTGACCCGCACGCGGCGTCAACAATTCACTAGTCATGACAAAGATATAAGGAAAAGAGTTATGGTCAATGTGTATATCTATCTACATAACACATTTAAAATCATATTTATGACCAGTTGTTTGTTGTTGCTATCCGAAAAATTAAACTCCGAATATTAAATTACACTACAGAATGAAATAGATTATGTGTATTGTCGCTTTCTCAATAACTTCCATGAAACTACCTTCATCCTCTGTTTTCTTCTAGCCTACCCTTCTTTTTTGTATATTTTGCAATATTCAATTCAAATGTTCAACTTTTCCAGACACACCAAGTTTGAATCTTCCGTCATATTTTTGACATTCAACGATTTTGTAAAATGATGACTTTTTACTCTGTTACTAGTCAGTCTTCAACTGCCCACACACTACTTCACATATATATGACTCTTCTTCAACCTGTGTTCGTCATATTCATATCCCTCGTTTCGTTTTCTCCAAAAGAAATATATATAAAAAAAACCCATTTTTTAATTTCTTTATTCTTTCAATCTCATTTTATATTCTCGGTACCATTTGCTGAATCTTCCTATATTTCCTGGTTATAGAGTGATACTGATCATTTAAAGCTAAGGAACGTTTGTGTGTTTGATGCGCACAAGGTATTTGTTGAAATGTCTGAATGAGATTTTTTTTTTCTTACCAATAATTGGTTAGTATAGCTATTATTGATACGACGATGATTTGTTTTATTGATTTGAGAGTGGTTCGTTAGTAAAAGGCTGATACTGATCTGTATTGATGTGTGCAGGGGGTTTCTATATTGATTATCTTTTTGGAAGTATCCTCTCGTTTTATTGTGGTCATGGGTCTTGAAGTTGGTTCTTTCACCTTCAAACCTAAAGAATCAGGCTTGACATCAAGAACCAGCAGTTTCAAGAGAGACGACACTAATCACCAGAATTCTCCCAAGATTACAACTATGCAGCGGTCGTTGAGTTTCAACAGCTGGGAGATTCCTAAAGAGAGCAAGACTGATTCAGATTTTGAGGTTGTGGAGACAAAGAAGTCAACTCCTAACACTTTGAACGGAAGAAACTGTGAGAGAATCCAAATAAAGAAACCCACAATTACTCCACCTGAGCCTTTTGTGTTCTTCTCCCCTAGACCGGTCACCGAGCTTGATGCAGCTGCAACTACGCTACAGAAGGTATACAAGAGTTACCGGACGAGAAGGAACTTAGCAGATTGTGCTGTCCTTGTTGAGGAGCTCTGGTGAGTTACTTGATCCATCTTCTTCTTTTGATGTCTTTTAAAGAAGTTTAAACTTAACCCTTTGGTATTGCTTGAAATGTTGTAGGTGGAAGACTCTGGATGCTGCAGCTCTGAACCTGAGCTCTGTTTCTTTCTTTGAAGAAGAGAAACATGAGCCTGCCGTTTCCAAATGGGCACGAGCTAGAACACGAGCAGCTAAGGTCTGACATCATTTGCATTAGTTTTTTTCTCTTTCTGTTTACTTTTTAAGTCAACGTGTTATTAGTTTCACTATTTCTCTAACCAATGTGGGTCTCACTTTTTTAGGTTGGTAAAGGCTTGTCAAAAGATGAGAAGGCTCAGAAATTAGCTCTTCAGCATTGGCTTGAAGCTGTAAGTCCTCATGACCTCTCTTTGTGAGTTCTAATCAAAGACAAGTACTGTTGTAACTGATTGGGCTTGTGAAGAAAAATATCGATGAATTTGGTTGCAAAGCACTGGATTAAAATTTATTAGTTCCTTTCTTATTTGGTGAATCTATTCTGATTGTCCCTCTCTTGCTTCTACAGATTGACCCACGTCATCGTTATGGCCACAACTTGCACTTCTATTATGATGTCTGGTCAGGGAGCAAGAGCTCACAGCCTTTCTTTTACTGGTTAGTCCTAGATCCAAACATTTATCTTAGATCTTCCTGTGTTTAAATCTATTCTAAACTTTGCTTCCTCCCATTTGAAACTCAAGGTTGGATATAGGAGACGGCAAAGATTTAAATCTTGAAAAACACCCAAGAAGTGTCCTGCAAAAACAATGCATCAGCTATCTCGGACCAGTGAGTTTTCTTGACCTCCCGACTCCACCATATTAATTAGCTAGCTCTACCTGCTTGATTACTCATTATTGTCTGTGTTTCTTGTAAAACCTGCAGATGGAGAGAGAAGCATATGAAGTGATAGTGGAAGATGGGAGGCTATTGTATAAACAGAGCATGACTCTGATCAATTCAACCGAGGAATCAAAGTCGATTTTTGTACTTAGCACGACTAGAACCTTATACGTAGGGAAGAAAAAGAAAGGCGTTTTCCAGCACTCGAGCTTCTTATCTGGAGGCGCCACAACCGCTGCAGGAAGATTGGTCGCCCGCGATGGGATCCTTGAGGTACTTAAATTACCTGTCTTTCTTCTCCCTCAGGTATGAATCTCTTATGTTATGTAAACTAAAAGGATTTTACTCACCTTTTGTTTTCTCAGGCTATATGGCCATATAGTGGACACTATCTCCCAACAGAAGAAAACTTCAAGGAGTTCATAAGCTTCTTGGAGGAGCACAATGTTGATCTCACCAATGTTAAGGTAAGGAAATGAATAATTTTACATTCGTTTCAGTGTTCTTGGCATCAAGAAAATGGTTGTATTCACGAGGGATGAATCCGAATTGCAGAGGTGTGCTGTGAATGAGGAATATTCGTCATTCAAATCAACTGCAGACGAAGAAGAGGAAGCAAAGGAAATCTCAGAGGAAGTTGAGATGCCTTCAGAGCAAGAAGAGAGAGCTAAACCGGTGTTTGATCCTGCCAAGAGACTTTCTTGTAAATGGTCAAGTGGGGTTGGTCCAAGAATTGGGTGTGTTAGAGATTACCCAATGGAGCTACAGGCACAAGCACTGGAGCAAGTCAGTCTCTCGCCTCGGGTATCACCAGCTAATTCTTACGGACCAATTCCATCTCCAAGACCGAGTCCTAAAGTGAGGGTTTCTCCACGATTAGCTTACATGGGAATCCCAAGCCCTAGAGCTGTACAATGCTAAACACACACACTTTTAACTTGTTATCCAAGAAAGAGTCGGTTAAAGAAGATAAATTAACCTCCATCTTTCTTTGTTCTTTTACTTCTTTTGTAACTTTCGCGAGTTTCAACATTTCTGTTTCACTCGTTGTAATTCTTTGGATAATAATACCCTTGTGAGCTATCAAGACTTGACTTTTAATTTCAAACAAGACTACGCTAGAGAAGAGAACACAGTCAACTTTTGGCCCATTTAGAAAATCTCCATTTTGTTCGAAACCAAGCCCTCTCTTTTCATTCATATACGAATTCAGGAAAAGGAAACTATTTATACATATATAGGAAAGTGATGATAATTGGAAAGAAACTACGTATACAGTATATTCTTCCAATCTCAGACTCTCATCATCTATCACTGAATATGTAAGCAAATACAAACAGTCAAACACAGACACCAGCACAAAACGTCTATTCACATCACATGAGAATTAATTAATAACATTTTTTCCAATAATCTCAATTTTTACAAAATTATATTATTATATTTAAGTACCCTTTAGCTATTTTTATAAATCATGACATTTTTCCATATTGATATCACGGGTTGCAATCTTTAGTAAAGCTTTTTATTAATCTGGAAATCCCTAAACGTAAGACTTGAAAATATAATAATATGTAAACAATTAACAACATTAATTTTAACCTGTAACACTCACTGCCATTTTTTATGGCAGCCAATAACATTACCATATATATTTAGTCAGTTAGGGAGACCTCTGTCTCCGTGGGTAGGCTGTTTAACTATACAATCTACCCCAAACGCACTAACATTTGTTTCGAATCATTGACAAAGATTCGTTTTTATTTAATTGGAATATCGATGGAAATGGAATCTTATATATAGAATCTTAGGACTTAATGTTTTAGGTGAGGCCAATATAAAAGAATACGTCATGATCCTGGTGGGCAACAAATTATAAAAAAAGACTTGAAGAGATCACAACAAAAGAATGGATCCACTGAAATAAATAAATATATAATCAAAGAAAAATCAAATCAAATAAAAATAAAACTAGTTATTATTATTAAAATCAAATAAAATAAAACTAGTTATTAGTATTATTACGTTTTAAAAATAAAAATGGGCTTACGTGAGCACATGTGGCAGACACGAAGTTAAAGACAACACCATCAACGGTGCTCGTGTATAACCACACATCTCTTTAAAGTCCGTTTCAAAATTGGGCTCCATTTCATCTATTTCCACAACCATTTATGCTTTGTCCTCCTCTTCATTTAGTAGTTTCTACTCACTTTTCGGCTTTCGCCAAAATGCTTTCCTAACTTTGCTCATGAAATAAAACTCTATGTGAGCTGATCCAATTTGGATGATAATTAAAGTGGATTCGTAACTCTTTTGTAATTGTTATTTTCACTTGTCATTGTATTCAGAAAAGAAAAGTTCCACCTGAACACGAAAGTGGCACACTAAAAGTTTTTTGAAACGATTTATAATGTTCAATAAGTTTAATTAGCATTTGATATCATGGGTTTGCAACTTTTACTTAAAACAAAACAGTCTCAAGCAGCTTCGTAATGACGTAATACATACGGCACAGAAAAGTCAATCTAAGAAGCCTTGGGATTGGTCCTTTTTTAAATATTTTCATAAAATAACATGAAAACAGTATGCTTAATGCTTTGTCATAATAGCAAAAGTGTAAGCTCGAAGAAGATACAATAACTTATTTATATTGGACTTAAAAAGGTATTATAACCACAATAGCTTAAAATCCCAATAAAGCTATCAAAACATACAAATTAAAAAACCCAAACAAACATACGACAACAAAAACAAACATAATTATTTGGTAAAAATAAAAAGAAAGATTTAAACTCCATTACAATTTCTAGTTGATTTTTTTTTTCTCTTTCTGTTAAAACAAAAGTTCAAATCAAATTCTTCCATTTTCTGTTCTAGAAAATTTATCTTCTTTACCTCATTCGGTAATGACAAAAAAAAAATGACAACAATACGCAAAATAAATAATTGCAACCCAATACAACTCCCTACCATCGTTTGAAATTTATTAGTTCTTGCGTGACATAGTGAATACTTTAATTAGGAACATGTTAACCTTTCTTAGATTTTTTTCATTTTTTAAACTAGATGGATCAAAAATATTAGTTTTCCAGATAATTTAACCAGGTCTGCCCAGACCTTTTAATTTACGTGGTCATATATTTTTTTCTTTCCCTACGTGGTCATATTTTATATCACTTGGAAGGGTATCTTAATTCTTAATATTGATTCGGCAACAAAAATCTAAGTTCCTAATAGGAGTAAACTTCACTTCGAACTTTATTTCGAGTGTTAACGAAACGAATGAAAAAAAATGCCCGATAAAGAAAGATCTGTGATACAAAACGTACGACACATAATATTGCACACCTCTGCTTCCCAATACGTAAAGGAGCGTCGTGTTCCCCAATTCAAACATTACTACGAAAATATTACTCCAAATTTGTGAATACTTTTCCCATTCACCTTTTTCCCATTGAAAAGGTCAACATCGACAATAAAATCTAGCGCGTGGGTTTTGGAACTCCCATGCATTTATCTCATCACAATAAACAATTTTAAAAAATATGAGAAAGAAAAGAGGAACAAAAAAAAAAAGCAAAAGAAACACATCACGATACAGTACTTTGTGATGTAAGCAACCACATACACCACTCCCTTCTTCCCCTCCCCATTATTTGTCTTTTCTTTTTCTTTTCCCAAATAATTCTCTTCTTATTTTATTGGCTTATTTTATTTCCCCTAATTTTCTTTTTTTTTCATAAATACTTTTATTATTACTTCTCTTATGATTCCTTTTTTTGTTTTAACCTCTTTTGATTCTTTCTATATATACAAATACAAAATCTTCTCTTCCCCTTAAAAAAGCTTCTTACGTTTCTATCTCTCTCTCTCTCTTTAATTGCTGCTGCTATGATGCAAGAATTAGGCTTAGAACGTTTCTCAAACGACGTCGTTCGCTTAGACCTCACTCCTCCTTCCCAAAGCTCATCAACTTCTCTCTCCATCGACGAAGAGGAATCACCGGAGGCCAAGATCCGACGGCTTATATCGGAGCATCCGGTGATCATCTTCAGCAGATCTTCTTGTTGCATGTGCCACGTCATGAAAAGGCTCCTCGCAACAATCGGAGTCATCCCCACTGTCATCGAGCTCGATGATCACGAGGTTTCCTCTCTCCCCACGGCTCTCGAAGAAGAATATTCCGGCGGCGGCTCAGTCGTTGCTCCTCCTCCGGCGGTTTTCATTGGCCGTGAGTGCGTTGGAGGTCTCGAGTCCCTCGTCGCGCTCCATCTAAGTGGTCACCTTGTCCCTAAGCTTGTCCAAGTTGGAGCTCTCTGGGTATGATTTGTTGTTTCATCTACTTCTTGCTTAGTCTTTTGCAAAATATATCAAAAGCAATAACTTAGGGTTTCTCTTTTCTGATTATCATCATCCGATGATCAAAATTAAATACCCATGTAGAAAATGAATTATGAATAATAAAATCAAAGATGTGTAAGTAGTAAATTTATATGATTTGCTTCATCATTTTTCTCTCTCTCTATAACTCTCTCACTAGAGTATACATTAATCCATCAACATTATTTATGAGTCGTATTTTGATTAGGACTAAAATATGATCTAGTTGTGTTGATTCAAATTTGATTATTCTCGTTTTATTGTGTCTATAATATCAAAGGTGAGATATTCCAACCAATAGATTTATTGGTAAAAATGCAAGATGTTCTATGGATTGATCTACCTTTATATTAACTACTAGACATTTTATGGTTCAAAATTATTATCCTGCCTGCAATTGGCAATTGATTTTGTTTTATATATGATATAGGATTATATATTAGTGGTTAGTTTTCTTATGAGTAGCTATTGGTGATTTTAATGAATTATGAATTCATGAGTAGCTTCATCATATATATATGAACTATTTATTTCTTTGGTAAACTAGCTTGTCATCTTTATAGTCATATATATGATGGTGATATGAATAACTTTGTTGATTTCAAAGTTAGTTTGCTTCTTTCTTTCTTTATTTAAAAAAAAAAATAAAGTAGAGAAGTGAAGGAAGAAGATTCTACCATTGTTTGTAAGGTCTCCGAGCTCTCGGCGTCACGTTAATTTCCTATTCAAGGAAATATTCTCTCTCTTTTTCTCTTATATTTTTTTTAATAGAAAATATTATTGCAAAATAGATATAAAATAAAAGTCGGTACAGCTCAAGAAACCACCAGATAAACATCCCTGAGCCCTCCAAAATGTATTAATAGAGTCAGTACTATCCTAAGCCAGAATGCCTTGATCCCGTCTAGGTTAATTAGTCGGTAGAGTTTATGCATTATTAAGTTCTTGAAGATTCAATGAAATTTCAATCTAATTTTTCACTTAAATAAACGTGTCTTGTAGAGATGTGTAGTATATACTACGTTTTAAATTAGTTTTTATAAATTCAGAGAATTTTGGGAAATGAATTAATAAGTGGAATATGAGAGACCCACTTTCAATAATTGAGGGGGTTTTGACAGCGACGCTGGGCTTAAGTGGCATCTCCAAAAACAAACCCGCTTTTATTTTCCTCCCCACAATTATTGATTTTCTTTTTCAAAGATTCAGAAAAGACTAAGAATTTTCTCATTCTTTTGATTTTCTTTGGAGTTGGGTTAACTGGAATAGAATGCTATATATACCGGTGATTTTTGTAGAAGGATTAGGATAATAAGGTCAAAAGTCCAAGTTCCACATTTCAAGGGTCAAGATTGACCTATGCCGAATAATTGATAGATTCCGATGTACCCTGATGTCACACTACACTGATGCTATTTTTTTCCACCAAGAGAGCTTCGGATGATTTGGTTGAAATCCTTTTCCTGTGCGATGCTTCATTTTTTTTTTTTACTTTTGCTAATACTCATCAAACCATATGTTACAGAAATACGAGTTTTAATCTACGTACGTAATGTCAAAGAGCGGTTGTTACATCTACCATTAAACTGCATGATATGGTCATATTTTTGCGTTTACACATACTATTTATTCACACCCTTCAAATATTCTGAATATTAAACAGATGATAGATCACTAGTAGTCTCTCACCGTCTCACGTCTATACTTCAATCAGTTTTAGTCACATATGATATACCTACATGTTACATGCCTTAAAAAAAAAGGATATAAACGTCAAATTATTTAGTGAAGATAGTCATTTTCTTCTCACTAGACCAACAAGTTCTACCACGTACAAAGGCCATGCGAGAACATATGGCCTACTCACTTGTCTCGACCACAGGATACGGGAGCACCATCTGTTCTCGCATGGCCTTTGTACGTGGTAATAAATGGTGCATAGATCTTATGTTCTCATTTGTGATATATATTATATTGGTTATGATTTTGTAATAAATACAAAATACGAGATTCATGATTTACCATAGCATAACTTCTATTAGTTATAACATATATTGTTTTTATATACACACGATAACTACATGAAGATCCAAGATAATACAATAATCGAACAACGACGTAAATCATATGCAAATGCTCATTAGTCTACAGAGCCGTGTTTATCTGGTTAGGAAAAAGGCATTTGCTTCAAGCCCTTGATTTTTTTTATAAATATAGGGCCCCCAAAATCTAAACTTTCAACAATATATTGATTAAAATATCATTTAAAATTTAATGAGTGTAAGATTTTTTTTTCTAAATAATAATTGGTAAGAGATATTTTATATTCCCACTATTTCAAATAAATAGATAATTAAGAAAAAAATATTTCAAATAGATAGATTTTGAAGTTTTTTTATCTATTTTTATTGTTTAATGGTGATAAATTGTAAACTTAAAAAAAATTAGTTTATTGAATTACTATTTTTTTAGAATTATATATAAATGCTAATCATATGATCAAATTATAAGATATATTTTTAATATTTTTGAAAAGTTTTAAAAAATCTATTACTTTAACACTAATAGAATAATAAGAGTTTTGGTGTTTTAAATTTTTTTTTTGCTAGATAGAATTTCTAATAATCGCCTTACGGTCTTATAACTCTGAGCACGGCACTCTTAGTCTACCTGCAATAGTTAGGGCGTAAGAACGACTAAAGAATATTTTCAATAAAATATTATGTAGGTACGATGGGTTAAATCTTAAAATCAACAATGAGAAAATACGAATCTGTTCAAAGACTAAAAACTAAGAAACGTCGTCAGAATATATATATAGAGATATATAAATCTTCAACATGCGATCTATTCACACAAGTTTGATAGGTGCAGGATAGCTTAATCAATTTTTTTTTTTAGCTTAATCAAATTTCTTTTTTATTGGTTGTTTGTATAAACGATCTTAATTATTACAAATGTCATGTATATACTTCTACTTTAAACTATGACATAGAAAAGGAAAAATGGCATCTATTTTCTGTAGCATCGTTACTCAAATATCAAAATAGCAGCATTTGCTAAAGGTTGATGCCCATAAATACGTCTCTGAATTTAAAATCCGAACTCATGTAGTGAAGTGTAAGCAAATAAGTTTTACATCCAAAATAAAAATAAAAAGTTGCCGACCAATACAACTTGGTGGCTGGTTGTGGGAGTGGGATTAAGATTTTTGTGTGAGATCATGTGACATGTCTTCAAATTAAGGTTATGCTTTATATATATGTGTATTTTTCTATAAAAAAAAATGCAAGTTGATGAATACTGATGGCGACGATGACCTCATCAATCATAAACAACAATCTCTCCAACAAAAGTTTATATTTTAATGATATTAATAACTACAGAGAAAACTCAGTGCCTCCACACCAAAAGCCTCCCCACACTTTTATAATACATTGTTTTCATTTTGTGTAAATTAAACTATATAGAATTATTTGTTCAATTATATGTTAAATTGTTTGATCGTTGTCGTATTGCCATTCGTTTTTTCACGATTTAATTTATTTAAAAGATACTATTTAAATTAAATATATATAAAAATATTTGCAATAAATTAAAACAAAAATCAGAGAAAGATCAATGTCTCCACACTAGAAGCCTCCCCAAAAACATTATCTTCAGGTAATTAGTATAAACGATAGGGATTTATTTTGCTCAATTATGTGATCATTGTCGTATTGCCATTATTTTGTTTTGGTGATTTTTATTTATTTAAAAGATCATTTTAATCTTTTAAAAATAGATAAAATAAACGTGTTTGGACAGGTTCTCACTTGGTCCTACCTTCCTAAATTACCGCGAAAAAAGAACAGAGATGAAATTGTAGATACGCTTGAATTGATATACATGTGTTAGAGGCGAATAAGCACAAACACCATAATAAATTTCCCAATCATGCAATTTTCGTGTAACTCTGATATGTAAATATGGTAGCATCTCTCATGCACTAAGATTGCAATGATATCATTTGGAAAAAAATATTGTATTAATAGAAAAGGCACTCGATTCCTTCGTATTTGGAAAAGGCATTGACATTAAAAAAATGCCTACGATGACCCACCAACACCATTCTCCAATACTTTTTAAGTTTTAATACACCAAAAAGGCAAAAAAAAAAAAAAAAAAAAACGCAAAATTACAGTTTTTACTTATCTACATTTAAAAAAAAAATTAAGAAAAGCTTTCCCTAATCATAAATCGAAATTTCTCTAATAAGTAATTAGTGAAAGCTCGTCAAATTTTTAAATAAAATATATAGATTTTTTTTTCTCTTAATTGCTGTGAGTCTTGTCTTATGTATGTTTTTCAAACACTAAAACATCGATATTACGATCTAAAAACTGACGAACCCTGCCTGCACAATGAGTATGTAAACACCTTAAGCTAGCAATCTTAAGCACAAGTGAATTCTGAAGGATAACAATTCACAAACAACACAGCTCTCGCATATATTCTAATAATCTCCCTTAGCTGTAATAATAATCATCTGCACTTTTTTTTCTTTGGTAGAAAAATCATCTGCACTCTTAGGCAGTCATGGACTTAGTCTTGACGCCAATCTTCTTCCAAGAAACACTAGGCATGATTTGTTTTGTGTCCACACGATCTCTAAACTGAACAGCAAAGTTGAGCAACGAATCAAGAAGTGAATCAGAGAGATAGTGAGGCTCAAGTCCCAGTTCCATCAGCTTTGTGTGCTTTGCGTTGTAGTAATGTTCTTCTGCCTCAACTCTCGGATTAGGCACCGTCATCTTTGTCACGTCCAGCCCGAGCTTTGAACCCGCTTTAGTGACGAGCGAGGCCAGTTCGTTGACTGAAAATTGTTCTGTGAATTGGTTGAATACCCGGAACTCACCAGCCTTTGCCGGGTTTGCTATTGCGAGCTCAACACATTGGACTGTATCTCTTATATCGAGGTAGCCTCTAGTCTGCAAAGGGGAAATAAATGATCACAAACCTCATTTCCTCCATTGAAGTTTCGTGTGACAAAAACAGAGAAAAAGAGTCATTTACCTGACCACCTTTACCATAAACTGTAAGTGGGTGACCAACAGCAGCTTGCACACAGAACCGGTTAAGAGCTGTACCAAACACAGCATCGTAATCCAATCGGTTACGTAGCTCCTCATGCATCTCTGTCTCATCAGTCTTCACTCCATAAACCACTCCTTGGTTGAGATCAGTGGCTCTGATACCCCAAGCCTTGCAAGTGAAAGCAATGTTGTGCGAGTCGTGAACTTTGCTAAGATGGTAAAAGGAGCTAGCTTGTTTGGGGTATGGCAAAGTGTCGGTCCTGCCATTATGTGTTATCGTTATATAACCTTCCTCGATGTCGATATTTGGAGTTCCATACTCACCCATCGTCCCAAGTTTAACCAGATGACAATCTTCTTGAAACTCTTTGATAGCAAAGAGGACATTTATAGTCCCGATCACATTGTTGTGCTGTGTATACACGGCTCTCGAACGGTCAATCATGGAGTAAGGCGCGGATCTCTGTTCACCAAAGTGGACAACTGAATCTGGCTCAAAGGACTTGAAAGACTCGGCTAAGAACTCGAAATCACAGATGTCACCGACGTATAGCTCGATGGATTTCCCTGTCAAAGCCTTCCATCGGCTGATTCGATCATGAATCGAGGCTATAGGAGTCAGTGACTCAAGACCAAGCTGGTGGTCGAAAAGACGCCTTACGAGGTTGTCAACAATGGCAACTTCGTAGTTCTTCTTGGACAAGTGGAGAGCAGTGGCCCAACCACAGTAACCATCTCCACCAATGACCATAACACGTTTTGGTTTGGACGATGAGTTATTGGTAGACGTTTCGGGTGGTGCTTGTTGGCTTATAGGAATAGCAGCTACACGGAAAACGCAGCTTCTTCTCGGTTTCTTGACTTGGAAGAGAAGTCCTTTGAGAGAAGACTTTGAAAGAACTTGAGGGTTGAAGAAGGTTTGCTTTAAACCAAAGGGCTGAATCGAATTCTTGCTGCTGCTGCTGCTAAGTGAGATAACTGAAGGGCATGAAGCTGAAAGTAGATGAGCCATTTTAAAGGTTTGGTCTTTACTCTATCCAACACATCCACCTGCAAAAACAAAAGCAGCCTACATTTAGGACGAATTTGGCCAGCAGAACAGGACGTATCTACGAGATGAAACATGGACTTGTTTCTCAGTATCAGTAACCAGTAAACAAGGATTCGGTTAATTCAATACTTCTTATGAAAATTCAAAACAAAATCCAAAAAGACATAGATAACAATTTGGAGATTTTCGATCGGTTTCGGTTTGATTCAAAAGCCTTATCTTCACACACAAACACACCCCAAACTCAACCACATGCATAGCAACAAAAATCATCGTAATCAAAACGCGAGAATTTGGGGAAGCCTTTTATCGGAATTGAAATATCTTCATCTAAAGACTAAACATTTGATCAACAAATGACAATAAGAAAAACGCACATTGCTGGAGGAGCAAGTTCAATTCAGATATACCGATAATTTCTTCAAAACGAAATCAATGAAGTTGCAGAAACGAGAAATTAAACTTGATGAGAAGAGAGGACTACTTACACTAAATTTTGGAGTCGCGAGAGTTGTAGAACTTAAAGCTTTAAAGACTGTGAAGTGAGATTTTCTCTCTTTGTCCCGGAAACGATGAGAGATGAGACAGATAAAATGATAAATAAAATTAGACATATGCTCAAGCATATTCTTATTTATTCCGTCGCGAAGTGATTTAGAATGATCCAAACAAAACAGACTAACCCAAATCAGGATATCCATATCCAATTCGAACCTGAAGCCCAAAATTTAAACCGAACATTACCATTTTGTGCGGTAACAAGTGAACCAATTTCAAAAAAAGGTTAAAAAGTTTGTCACAGTGGTGTCCAAACGTGTTGAACGTCTTATCCCAAATAAACGGTAAACTCATAAAATCACAGGTAAATTAGATGCAAATTTTAAATTACGGTATATGACATAATAATAGAATAAGAAAATATTTTCGTTGTGAAAATTAAAGAAATCTCGTAAACGATACTGTAATTTATGAGGACAAACATTCACAAGTAATTCATCATTTGTGATTTTTTTTGTTTCGATCTTATTAAAATAATAAAAGAAATTTAAAGGGAAAGTAACAACTGAAAACTCAAAAGAGAATATATATATATATATATATATATATATATGACCCAAATACACCGAGGCAAGAGCTCTTTCACGATTAGAATTATCCTTCAGGCAAAAGGGCAGGGCAGACCAGCCGCAATGTAGAACTGTCTTCTATCCTCCACAGTAGTCCACTGTCACTGATCGGGTAAATTAAAGACTAAAGAGGCTCCTTTGTTTGTGTAATTATGCACTTGCGAATGTAAAACCTATAAACCTATAGTTCTAAGTTCTAACCTATGAACACCTAACTTTTTAGAACATTGGTTTGAAAAATACCTAATGTGTCGCATACCAATGGGCAATAAGCCATTAGTAAAATACAACGTACCTTACAAAGCTTGATCTCTTGTATAAGTTTGCTGTGGTTGCCGGTCCGATGCAAATCCCGGTTATTAGTCTTTTTTTTTTTTTTTTTTGCAGGTTGACTTTTTTTATATTTCCTAAAAGACAAAAGTCATCGCTATGCATTATGCAAGATTAGACTATAACAAAGCTTCCAATTTAAAATATAAAACAAAGCATTCTCTCCGCTTCTCATCTTTTCATTTTATCTTATTTTTCTCCTAGTTATTAAGTTTGACGGCGATGTCATATTTTTAGTACACTCAAGTTATATAGCGACCATTATTTTATCTTCTAAATGTTTAACTTTTTCCAATGAGAGGGTGTAAAATGACGACATTGTTCGACCCCCCAAAAAAATATGATGACATTGTATGGTCATTCTCGAGGATCATGAACCACTTGTGACTTTCTCCACGTACGTGCACGCACACACAAAGAAAAACAACACACATACGTAGACGTAGTAATATTCTCCGACTCTTTCTTCATAAAAACACAACTCCTTAATAACCACTAAATCCTAATTGCTGGTTTTCTTGACAATAATAGAAACCTTCAAGTAATCATCTTATCGAATTTAGTAATGTCTCTCTTCCAGGTCTGAAAATTTCTTCCTCATCATATATCCGTCTAATGTTCTTGCTTTTAGCTCTATCCTTTTTCCCTCACAACTTTTTTTTTTGCTAACAATTTTTTTCAGGATTTGTGGCAGTTTCTCCGACCATTATCCTCTGGGTTAACAGGTATTCTTTCCTCTATTTTTCAATTATTTGCCTTTTTTCTTTCTCACATATATCTACTTGTCTCTGTAGTCTCACCGTGAATTCAACTTTTGCTGAAAATATTCCAATTTGCTCTTAATCTCTCATTATTTGAGTAATCCGGGTTAATTCCCTTTCTTAACTCCATTATAGAGAACACATTCTATCTCACAAAAAATAGTTTTATTAATAAAAATAACTCAATTTCTTTTTGCCATTTTATCATACTTTCTTTCTCTCTCCATCATTATTTTCTAATTTGTTCCAAAAAAAACAAAAACAGAGTCGTTCACAAACAGCTGTGACTCGGGCGAGTCAGACCCGTGCCGAGATGACGCGGCTGCTCTCACCCTCAAGTTCGCAGCTATGGCGTCGATCCTCGTCGCCGGAGCGGCCGGCGTCTCGATTCCCCTCGTCGGAACCCTACTCCCGTCGAACAGTGGCTTAATGAGAGGAGCCAAAGCGTTCGCCGCAGGAGTAATCCTCGCAACAGGGTTCGTTCACATGCTCTCCGGTGGCTCCGAAGCCCTATCCGACCCGTGTCTGCCGGAGTTTCCATGGAAGATGTTCCCTTTCCCCGAGTTTTTCGCCATGGTTGCGGCGCTTCTCACTCTGCTCGCCGATTTCATGATCACCGGATACTACGAGAGGAAACAGGAGAAGCTGATGAACCGCTCCGTCGAGTCGCTTGGTCAGGCAGGCTCGGTTATCTCAGAACCGGATCGGGAAATCGGGTCGGGTCTTCTTGATTCGGGTTTTATGAGGGATCATGAAGATGGCGGGAAGCTGCATATCGTGGGGATGCGGGCCCACGCAGACCATCATCGTCATAGTCTCTCGATGGGTCCTGAAGGTTTTGAGGCTCTGGCTAAGAGGAGCGGAGTTTCCGGCGGCGCCGGTTATGGACACGGCCATGACCACGGGGACGTAGGCTTTGACAGTGGTGTGAGGCACGTTGTTGTTTCTCAGGTAAAAAAGACACTTCTAGTTTTGACTTTATGATTTTAGTAAGCTCTGACTTTTGACTTCTTTTATTACAGTTTTAATGATCTAAAACTAGTTGACTTCATTCATTCGCAATCTAGCTTATTAACGAACTCTACATAAGTTTCATTACAGGAGTATAGGACTTTATTTATTGAAAGAACATTAAATACGGAGTACTTGCTTTCATTTAAAATGTGAGTGCAACAAGTGATATTTATTATTTAGTATTTTCAAAAAGTATCTTTACAATAATATTACCAATTAAATTAATTGTTCTTTGTTTGATCATTGCTCACGAAAATAACGACTATCTATTGCAGATATTTTTTAGTGAAAAAAAATAATAGAATTAAGACGAAAAAGACATAACAAACGCACTAGTCAAACGGTTCCGTTAATAAAAATTCTTTCTAATGTCGTTACACAAATAAGAATAAAAAGACTAAGTGACGGTAACCTTTTTATTTATTTATTCAGATACTTGAAATGGGAATCGTATCACATTCAATAATAATAGGAATATCACTTGGAGTATCACATAGCCCATGCACCATACGTCCTCTCATTGTCGCTCTTTCCTTCCACCAATTCTTCGAAGGTTTCGCCCTCGGTGGCTGCGTCGCAGAGGCCAAGCTAACCCCTCGAGGATCTGCAATGATGGCTTTCTTCTTTGCGGTCACTACCCCAATAGGTGTGGCCATAGGTACAGCCATTGCCTCGTCTTACAACTCCTATAGTGTTGCGGCTTTGGTGGCTGAAGGAGTGCTCGACTCTCTCTCTGCGGGGATACTTGTCTACATGGCTCTCGTGGATCTGATCGCTGCCGATTTCTTGAGCAAGAAGATGAGTGTTGATTTTAAGCTTCAAATTGTGTCTTATTGCTTTTTGTTCCTTGGAGCTGGGATGATGTCTGCTCTTGCTATTTGGGCTTGATCATTTTTCACTTCTTTTAAAGAAATTAAGCTTTTGTTCTATCTTAACAAAATTCTTTTTTTTTCTTTTTACATTTGCGTGTTTTGAATTTTTATCCATGACCATGAGTTATGGAGATGTTGTTTTATCGTGGTGATTTATTTATGAAAGTAATAACTATTCAAGAAAGTAAAAGCTGGACTAAAAATGTTTGTTATTTGGTGTTTACGGTTTAAATCCCTAAAGAATAAGCTCTAGTCTTCTAGATGAAATGACGCGAAAATGTGCAAAAATGACAGATAAACTTAGCAAAGTTAAAGTAAGTTTTCACCGTTACAACACTGTTTTTAGCTGGTAATCAAATAAATTAGCTTTTACAATCTAACTGAAATCCAGCAAATCCGAAGGCTTGACAAAAATAACATTTTGAAACACCCAACCCCTAGCCAAGAAGGACTGACCTTACATATTTGAAGAGACAGATTTCAATGCACAATAGAATCGAAGATTTTGAAAAGCGAATTTCTCATGAATATGATTTTAGGTTTGGAGGTTTTATCTAACTTTTTATCTGATTTGATTTTTTTGTCAGATAAATAATTATCTTATAGGATGATACACTTGTCCGATAGTAGATTTATTAGCTAACTGGATTTTGTTATTGTAGTTAATAGTAAAATGAACGATTAGCTTTGTTACACTGAAACGAACGGTATATTGGTTTATCATGTCCAAAAGGCTCTAGTCTACTTGTTTGTGCTAAATATCAAAATCATATGCAGGTTAACTCAAATCATTTATTTTCAAAATTGAGTAATGCTTCGATGTACGTATATGAAATGAGCTCAAATGAGATCGGAATTTACCATCGGCATTCATTCATTATTTGCATGGTACATCCTTCCATCATATCGAACCTCAAATCCCATAAAGTTACTATAACGTTTTGGCGCGTGTGGATGTGTTTCTCTTAACTTGGGTTAAAGACCCAATTAATTTGGTGAAACTAATCAACTATATACATCAATATATCATATGGCTCTTTAGCAACCAGTGGCAAATCCACATTGAAATGAACGATATAGTAGATTTTGCTATATGCGTTATTATATAGATCATTTAGTTTATTTAATCTGACCCCTTCACAAGGGTTCAATACCTTAGCTTTATTTTTCACGTTGGACCATAGTCCAGTTAATAATACCAGATTATGCATCCTCAATAAACAATCCTCGATCCGCCACGGTTCGCCATCAAATGGTTTTTTTTGGATACATATCAAAATTGAAAATCAATAAGTTCATTACACCTTTTTCAGCAAGGGTTCCATCTCTCGAAATTTCTTCAGTATTGCTATAGGCCAACAAAAGAATATCTTTGCAGTGACTAACATCATATTCTAATCCTTTGTACCCAAAACTTAAAAAAAAAGCCAAAATGAATAAAGTTTTCCCTGGAACTCTTAAGACTTATTTCTCGTGAAGGGTCCAAAAACGAGAGTCTTTCATATTATGTCGTATATTTGGAAGACGATGGTTCCCATGTTGTATGATGAACAAAGGACGAACCCTATATTCTTTCCTTGTGGAGATAAACTCTCTGTGAAACAGATTCTGCCACCTAAATTATCTCTTCTTTTTTCTTTTCTTCTTTTTGTTCATGTGAACCAAAATAATTATAACTTCTTTGCCGTATAATATATATATATATATTAATTTTGTTTTGTTGCTATCTTTCTGATTTTTTTGATAAAAGGTGATTGATACACATTCTCGTCCACCGAAACCCAATCTCTTCAACTCCACTTCCCTTCCTTTCAAATTTTATCTCGAAATTTTTATTTACAGCATTTCCGGCAATCATGTATAGTACTTCCTGTAATTATCTTAAGGTTTGCATTCATTATTTTTTAAAAGTATTAGTTAAGGCAACATACGTACTTATATAAGTTTTATTTTCCGCACTATTTATCTAGAAATGCTAATTAGAACAAATAAAACTTATTTATTGATTAAGCTAACCCGGCTCAGTTTTGAAAGCAAAAAAAAAAAACTACAGTTCTCTTGGAAATAAAAAGACAAACTTAATGAACAAAGTGTTTATTGATGTTAGGAAAAATGGTATATTGTTTGGAGAAAATGCTCGCAGGAAACAACTACAATTAAGAGATGTCGGAGATCCACAATTTAATCATAAAAAATAATCACAATATTGGAATATTACTGATTAGATTCGACGACACACGTGGAATCTATACAAATGGTCCGATACTTTTCACCAACCGCATCCGATAGCCTTCACCATTTACAAGAGATCCACGAATTTTGACAGCAAAAAAAATATCGTTTTTCCTCTTTATATAAACAGACATTTTTCTTTCAGACGTGAATATACACATTTTTCATTACAACGGTCAGTGGTATATATACATTCATATATACTCCCTCAAGGTTCCCTCCTCCACCATCTCCAAATCCATGGCGAAATACTAGAAAGACGTCACCTTTCTGCGTTTTCTGATTGCATCCCATTTTCAATTTCCCATTTTTTCCTCCCTTTCTATATATCCATGGAGCGCGCAAGGAGGATTGCTTACAGAGGAATCGTCAGACGTCTCGTTAACGACGCAAAACGACACCGTAACGTCGAAACCCCTCACGTTCCCTCCGCTGTTCCTCACGCTCCGGCGACGAGGTATCTCTCTTCTCTTTCCCCTTTCCTCTCGACCCGTGGATCCATCAATCCGTCGACATTCGGCAATCTAGCTAGGCAGCAGCAAACCCGTCCGATCTCCGTCGAGGCTCTTAAACCCGGCGATACTTTCCCGCGTCGCCACAACTCGGCAACACCAGATGAGCAAACCCACATGGCCAAATACTGTGGCTTCGACCACATCGATTCCCTCATCGACGCCACCGTTCCCAAATCCATCCGATTGGATTCGATGAAGTTCTCCAAATTCGACGGAGGGTTAACCGAGAGCCAGATGATTGAGCACATGGTCGATTTAGCTTCCAAGAACAAGGTTTTCAAGTCGTTTATTGGGATGGGATACTACAACACACACGTCCCTACTGTGATTCTCCGTAACATCATGGAGAATCCGGCTTGGTACACTCAATACACTCCTTACCAAGCTGAGATCTCTCAGGGTCGTCTCGAATCGCTGCTCAATTTCCAGACTATGATTACCGACCTCACTGGCCTTCCCATGTCTAACGCGTCGCTGCTAGACGAAGGGACTGCAGCTGCGGAGGCTATGGCCATGTGTAACAACATTCAAAAGGGTAAAAAGAAGACCTTTTTGATTGCTAGTAACTGTCACCCTCAGACGATTGATGTTTGTAAGACTAGAGCTGATGGGTTTGATCTCAAAGTCGTCACGGCTGAGCTCAAGGAGATAGATTATAGTTCCGGTGATGTCTGTGGGGTTCTTGTTCAGTATCCTGGAACTGAAGGTGAAGTCTTGGATTATGCTGAGTTTGTCAAGAACGCTCATGCTAATGGTGTTAAGGTTGTGATGGCGACGGATTTGCTGGCCTTGACGATGTTGAAACCTCCTGGGGAGTTTGGGGCTGATATTGTGGTTGGTTCCGCTCAGAGGTTTGGTGTTCCAATGGGTTATGGTGGTCCTCACGCTGCTTTCTTGGCTACTTCACAAGAGTATAAGAGAATGATGCCAGGGAGGATTATTGGTATCAGTGTTGATTCTTCGGGAAAGCAAGCTCTGCGTATGGCGATGCAGACTAGGGAACAGCACATTAGGAGGGACAAAGCCACTAGCAACATCTGTACTGCTCAAGTAATCACATTTACAATCTGATTTTTTGAAAGTTTCTTTTAGTTTTGTTGTTGCCATTTTGTATAATCTTATCCTTTTTTCTTGCAGGCACTGCTTGCCAACATGGCGGCCATGTATGCTGTTTACCATGGACCTGCTGGTCTAAAAGCTATTGCTCAACGGGTTCATGGTCTTGCTGGCATATTTTCCTTAGGGTTGAAGAAGCTTGGGGTTGCAGAAGTCCAAGAACTTCCCTACTTTGACACTGTAAAAGTCAAGTGTTCGGACGCACATGCAATTGCTGATGCAGCTACCAAGAGTGAAATTAATCTGCGTGTTGTGGACTCAAACACTGTGAGTCTCCTTTGCTTTGAACTTCAATGGTTCTTACTTGTATGGTAGAAAGCATACAGATTTGATTATTTGACGTCTTTCAGATTACTGCTTCTTTTGACGAAACAACCACCTTGGATGATGTCGATAAACTTTTCAAAGTTTTTGCTTCTGGCAAGCCTGTGAGTGTTGTTCATTTGTCCATAAGTTTTACTTATCAGTTCTAGGCTTCTTGCGTCAAATGTGATTCTCTCAATTCCATTTTCAGGTTCAATTCACGGCTGAATCTCTTGCCCCTGAGGTTCAGAATTCCATTCCTTCTAGTCTAACAAGAGATAGCCCTTATCTTACCCACCCAATCTTCAACATGTATTTTTCTCTTCTTTGAATCTTGAATGGTTTATTGCTAGTGGATTATCAGTATCTCATTTTGATTTTCTTTTTTCAACAATGGATTAGGTACCACACAGAGCATGAGTTGCTCAGGTACATCCACAAGTTACAGTCTAAGGATCTCTCGCTTTGCCACAGCATGATTCCATTGGGATCTTGTACGATGAAGTTAAATGCAACAACTGAAATGATGCCAGTAACATGGCCAAGTTTCACTGACATTCACCCTTTTGCTCCTGTTGAACAAGCACAGGGTTATCAGGTGAGCCACTTTCTTGATTCATCTGAGGTTTTATCTTGAAAATTGAACAATGAAACTGATTTCTTGTCGGTATTTTTGTGTGTAGGAAATGTTCGACAATTTGGGTGATCTCTTGTGTAAAATCACTGGGTTTGACTCATTCTCATTGCAACCTAATGCTGGTGCTGCTGGAGAGTATGCCGGGCTCATGGTTATCCGTGCATATCACATGGTAAAAGCTTATATTCTAAATTTGGTTTTTAAATATTTTACGTTTAACATTTTCAATTGTATAAACTGAAAAGTAAATGATTGAATCCATCATCCAGTCAAGAGGAGATCATCACAGAAATGTGTGTATCATACCTGTCTCTGCACATGGGACAAACCCTGCGAGTGCTGCTATGTGCGGGATGAAAATTATCACGGTTGGAACTGATGCTAAGGGAAATATCAACATCGAGGAGTTAAAAAAAGCTGCTGAAGCCAACAAAGACAACTTAGCCGCCCTCATGGTTACATACCCTTCAACTCATGGAGTCTATGAAGAGGGTATTGATGAGATTTGCAACATAATACACGACAACGGTGGTCAAGTGTACATGGATGGTGCCAACATGAATGCACAGGTGAAATATCTAAATATAACAGCAAACATAGATTTCAGGGTTTGTCGAATTTATAAGAGCATGGTGTTGGGTTCGTGTAGGTTGGTCTGACGAGCCCCGGTTTTATTGGAGCGGACGTGTGCCATCTCAATCTCCACAAGACCTTCTGTATTCCTCATGGAGGTGGTGGTCCTGGTATGGGTCCTATTGGTGTGAAGCAACATTTGGCACCATTTCTTCCTTCTCACCCTGTGGTTAGTCTTTTGATCCTTCATCACTTTTTTAAAGTTTCTTGGTGACTGGTGATGAAATTTCTTTTCTCTATGTTTTCTCCATTGCCATGTATAAAGATACCTACTGGTGGTATACCACAACCCGAGAAGACAACTCCTTTGGGTACGATTGCCGCTGCACCATGGGGATCTGCACTTATCTTGCCGATATCGTACACTTACATTGCCATGATGGGATCTGGTGGACTCACTGATGCCTCAAAGATTGCAATTTTGAACGCCAATTACATGGCTAAGCGTCTAGAGGTACATTGACTTGTGTTTTCAATCAAATAGTATTTTGAGAGAAGAGTCAAGAATGAAAGAGAGCCCTTTTTCTTGATTTGTCTCTACAGAAGCACTACCCAGTTCTTTTCCGTGGTGTTAACGGAACAGTAGCACACGAATTCATCATAGACTTGAGAGGCTTCAAGGTATTAGAAAATGTTGTGAAATGTAACTTGAAGGGTTGTTGAATCTTTGTCTCGGGATGTATATCATGAAATGAAACATGGTCTTATAACTCTTATAGAACACTGCTGGAGTAGAACCAGAGGATGTGGCGAAACGGCTAATGGACTATGGATTCCATGGACCCACAATGTCTTGGCCTGTCCCTGGAACGCTTATGATCGAGCCAACGGAGAGTGAAAGCAAGGTATAATATGCATATGCTAAGATATTCTCTCATTGACACGCTTTCTCTATCAATGTTGTATCAGCTTGATGAACTTAGTAATAAATTGTTTGTAGGCGGAGTTGGACAGGTTCTGCGATGCTCTCATTTCGATCAGGGAAGAAATTGCACAGATTGAAAAAGGAAATGCAGATGTCCAGGACAACGTTCTCAAGGTAATTAAAAAACGAAACACTAAATCTTATTTCCTTAAGAGATTGAGATTCAGACATTGAAGGTTGATGGTTGGTTGGTTTGTGCTTGTCAGGGAGCTCCACATCCTCCATCGTTGCTAATGGCAGACACATGGAAAAAGCCGTACTCCCGGGAGTACGCTGCGTTCCCTGCACCGTGGCTCCGCTCCTCCAAGTTCTGGCCAACCACAGGTATTAATTATGAATTATCCAAAAGATTTGATTTTTGATCGCAATTAAGTTTGATTCAGTTGTGTTCCTTTTGTTGTGTGATTTGTGTGTGACAAATGAATGAAATTGTGGAACAGGACGTGTGGACAATGTGTATGGAGACAGGAAACTGGTGTGCACTCTCCTCCCAGAGGAAGAACAAGTCGCAGCTGCAGTATCAGCTTGATTTTACATTTTAATGTGTTATGTTTATGTGTCTTCTCTCTCTCTCTCTCTCTCTCTCTCTCTCTCTCTCTCTCTCTCTCTCTTTTTCTCCATTCTCTTCTCTCTCTCACATTCTGTCCATAGTGTTCTTTCTTATTATACACTTTCTATCTTTTACTTCCGTAGCTGAAACGTTTCCATTAGAATGTTTCCAATCACACCATCCTTCGTTTCCTTATTTTTGGTAATTTACTTCCTATAAAAACAAAAAAACAAAGAATACATAGAACGTTTCGTTTAATAATTTGAAATTCTAGGAAAATCAAGTACAAGCGGTATTCGATCGACGAGTCTGTTTCGGTCTAGAAACTTGAAAGTGGCCAAAGAACGCGAGTAACAAGTATTCAAGTTGAGGCTTCAATTATATATGGGCTCAATGTAGTGGTTTAGTTAAATGGTAGATGGGCCGAAGGGTTTATATTAAAATTTCTTCAGAGTAAGACACTACGTGCCGTCTGGTGAAATCGTTAAAGAACTGCATGAGGTCTGTATGAGAGATTAAAACCAATCCGGGTCGACCCGCCCGTCCTGCTGTAAAAAAAAAAAAAAGAAACCTTTCCGCGCAAGCCATAGAACGCAAAATCGGCCCGTAACATTTCTCTCGCTGCTTTCAAGTTCTCCCTCAGGTAAAATCTAGGGTTCTCGCTTCGAGTTGGATCAGTCGGAGATTTAGGGTTCAACGTGGACTCAGTAGTCGACTCTGCGATCCCTTTCTTCTTCCGGCCAAAATCCGTCGAAACTTCTCTTCCGTAGCATTAGTTACCTCGTTTCAGCCCAATTCTTTTTATATTATTCTTCACTTTAGAGCTTCGTTTAGGTTTGCAATCTCGCTCACTTTGGTGTAGTTTTATTTATCTCTTTGAGTTCATTTTTTGTCTTTCTCGATTAGATTTTCTGTTGGGAAGTGTCGAATTTTTGATCACACACGAATCGATCTTCCGTTCAGACAAAGGCGGAGAGATGGGGATGACCGTGATGTGTCGGTTAGTAGATGCGGAAGGAATTCCTTTGGGTAACCCAATGTATATCTCTGAGCAAGCAGGGCCATTGCAGCTTACCGAGCTTGCCAATAGATTTCTCAACAATGTAAGAAATATCTTTTCTGTCTTTGTCTAGTTATTGCTTAAAGGGATGATAAAGGAGTGATTTTTTCTCTGTTCCACTCTAAATACTGATGCTTTGTGGCTGCTCCTAAGCTGTTGACAAGTTTTTTGAGCTGTTTATGGTTTCTCATGGAATTTTGGGTAATTGTTTGTTTTCAGGAAGAGAAGTTGCCCTACGCTTTCTATGTATCAGGCGAGGAACTTGTTGTGCCTGTCGGAACTTACATAGAGAAAAACAGAGGTGTTTTTTTTTTTTTTGGGCGCAGAGTAACATATATATTGATTGTATGTATATTTTTTTTTGGCGCTTATGCAATATAATAATAAATACATTTGTGTGCATTTCAGTGTCCGTGGAGAACATTTTGACGATAGTGTATCGACAACAAGCTCTTTTCCGAACTCGCCCAGTTAACCGTATTTCTGCTAGCATAGCTGGTATGTCTGAAAGTTCCTCCTCTTTGTTTCTTCTTCTTCTTCTAGTTCAGCGCCTTCTTCTAGTTCTTCTTCTTCTTCTAGCTTCTCTATGCTGCTGACTGATCATGAGGTTTGTGTTGTCTTATAAAATATTAGGTCATCAGGGTGCAATTCTGTGTGTTTCTTTCAGTCCTGACGGTAAGCAGTTAGCAAGTGGCTCAGGTGATACTAGTGTCCGGCTCTGGGATCTCAACACTCAAACTCCAATGTTTACATGCAGAGGTTCGAACTTTTTGTTGCTTTCTAGTTTTTTCTTGTTTTGTCATTATTTGTTTTTTTTTATATGTGTGTGTATAATTAATCTCCTCCTATTTTCAGGGCACATGCACTGGGTTCAGGCAGTTGCATGGTCTCCAGATGGTAAGCACCTTGTTAGTGGTGATTTTGCTGGCAAAATCTGTTGCTGGATACCCAAAACCGGAAAGCTAGATGGCATCCCCCTAAGAGGCCACAGACAATGGATTACTAGCATCTCCTGGGAACCAGTCCACCTTAACTACCCTTGCCGTCGCTTTGTAACTTGTAGCAAAGATGGGGATGCAAGGATATGGGACATCACTCTAAAAAAATCTCTAACTTGTCTCACTGGACATACTCGTGGCTTGACTTGTGTCAAATGGGGGGGAGAGGGAATTATATATACAAGGTACTTGTATCTATGTCAAACTAATTCTCTGGATCACTTCTTGCTTGCTATTCCAATATCTGTCTTTGTGTGTTGGCAGTTCTCAAGACTGTACAATAAAGATGTGGGAAGTTACTCAGGAGGGAGCTCCATGTTTGAAGGCAAATTTGAAGGTATAAGCTCACTTTTTTGGTGAATGTTTTCTTTTTTTTTGTGTGTGTGTATGTTGCTGGCCGTTTCTCTCCTGTCGTGACTCTATAGTCAGGAGCTGATTGGCTTATGCGTTTCCGATTCTCCCTGTATAACTTTTTAGCAGCCTAATTAATTTTTACTCTGCATATTCTGTTGCTTCAGTTTCATGGACATTGGGTGAACTTCCTTTCATTGAGCACAGAATATGTTCTCCGGACAGGAGCCTTTGACCACACTGGAAAACAATCTTCTTCGCCTGAAGAAGTTAGAAAGGTGAGAGAGAGAGAGAGAGGGATCCCGCTCATTCCTTAGTTGAGAGTTCGCTTTTTGTCCATTGTTTCTGATCTCTTTCCCTTTGGATTAGGCTGCGCTCAAAAGATACGAACAAGCCAAAGGAAATTCCGGTGAAAGACTAGTCTCAGGTTCTGATGACTGGACAATGTTTCTTTGGGAACCGTCTGTTAGCGATCAACCAAGAAAGCGATTGACCGTTCCTTCGTCTGTTAGCGACCAACGTAAAAAGCAATTGACCGGTCACCAGCAGCTTGTAAACCATGTGTATTTCTCACCTAATGGACAGTGGATTGCAAGTGCGTCGTTTGATAAATCTGTCAAGATATGGGATGGTATCACGGGTGACTTTATTACAACTTTGCGAGGCCATGTTGGACCTGTTTACCAAATCAGGTTGGGTAGATTTCTTGAGCATAAGTTCCTCTATCCTCTTCTAGTGCCTAAATAATAAATTAGCTTCTTTGCTACTGCAGTTGGTCCCCGGACAGTAGGATGCTTTTAAGTGGTAGCAAAGACTCTACTCTTAAGGTAAATCTTTTGTTTTGTTTGTTCCCAAAATCATCCACAAATCTGGACGATTCTAAACCTCACTTTTGCACAGATATGGGATATTGGACAGAGAAAGTTAAAGCAAGATCTTCCTGGTCATGCGGATGAGGTCTTTACTTACATTTTGAAAGCTAATGTTTCCTGCTTGAAAAACTCCAATCGCCTTAAAAATTTTGTTCGTGTGTGTGGATAGGTTTATGCAGTGGACTGGAGTCCAGATGGTGAGAGAGTAGTCTCCGGTGGTAAAGATAAATGTCTGAAGCTATGGGTGGGTTGAAGAGAGAGCAGCTTGAGCTTCTTTTTTTTTTTAATTATTACAATCGCACAACACATTGAAGCGTTAGCTTTTTAATTTTCAATTTCCACCGACTCTGTATTTTGAACCTGTACAACTTTTTTCTGATTTAGATTAAGTTATGAACTTTTTATTTTTAGCTTCTTCTTCTGCAGCCAGAAGATACGTGTTCAACTTGGCTTCATTGTCCCGTTCAATCTTTAATGTGGAGAAAAGAATAACAACATGGGGGTCAAATTTTGAGAAAGAGAAACGAGAGTTGTTGATGAGGTTAGGAAAACAAAACAAATGTATTGATACAAAATACTTAAAGAGTTAGATGGGGAAAGATACTTACTCGCGTAGAATGGTCGCTTCTCTGGAGATGCTCGGCGAAATCTTCAAAGGTGAGGCACGAAGAACGGCATGATCCGCCAGAAAACATTTCACTGCCCTTGTCCACTCTTGTTGACTCCTCCTCGACAGGCCCTGAATAAGTGGAAATACAAACAATCTAGTTCAGTAACAACAGCTTTGCTGGTTACTTAAGTAAACAGTGAGAGAGAGAGAGAAAACACCTTGAGTAAGCTGTAGGTACAGTGTCAGACAGAAACTTATTCAAAGTCCAATATTCAAACTAACTTCCGTAGCTGTTACGTTTCCATTAGAATATACACCATCCTTCGTTTCCTTTATTAATTTATTTCGACACTTTAAATATTCCACACATGACCCCAAAATAAATACTGATATATAGGAAATCCAATTAACTGATAGTCAGCCTGAATAGGCCAAACCATGTTGGTTTTATGGAAGATGACGTCTCATGCCCCAAGCTCTCATTAGTTGTTGATCCTTTCCAATTTTTCTCCAGAACATATGTCTGGATCGGTGGTGATCCATAGAAAAAAGAATGCTTCATTACATTTTCAATGTAACAGTCTACAAATGGGTGCATCAAATGATGGCAAAACCTCACATTTTTTACTTACATCTAATAATCACCAACTAATTTGAGTTTAAAAACATTTAAAATAAATAACGGCTTTAGTACGTTAACCAAGCAGAAGAAGGTCACACACGGTTCTGCCTCAGTCTTCAACCTCTGTGTTGAATATAAAACTTGGAAATGCTGTCGTCACATCTCTTCAAATTCAAACAGATAAGTTAATGATCACAAAGTAGAGGTTATCTTAGATTTAGAGAGTTAATCTAACAAATAGAGAGAGAAAAGAAATTGGTACTTTAGGTAAGGAAGAGTCATATTCTTCAATAAGGCGGGATGCTTAAGCACATACACCTTCCATTCTCCCTTGCTAATTTTACCATCTTTATCCGCATCTGCATCAGCAAATGTCTAGCAAAAGACAATGAAGAGGATTAAAAAAAACCCCATCTGCTAACTGAATTTAACAAATATGAGTCATCACTACGAGAAAGGATTCCAATTACACTCACTTTATCAATAATCATTGTCAGAAGTTCATCGGACAGCATCATATCAGATTCCATCAAAATAGCAACCACCATTTGTTGCACCTAAAATTAGCAGCTTAAAACTTGTTATTGAGCTCAAAATACAGTTGCAACTTGCAGTGGGCACAATCATTTACCTCTTCTCGCTCAATAAATCCGGTTTGTCTTAGATCATAGAGCCTAAATGCAACTGCCACAGATTAAAAACATATGCTTGAGACTCATCCCTGGGTTATATATATTACTAATAATTGTTCAACTGACACAAAATTTTGGTTCAATGATCCCTTTTCTTAAGATAATTGTTTCAATGAAACTTACAGTCGATCTTCTCCTCAATCGGTGCATAGGGATGAAAGACACTCAATGCATGGATGAATTCCTCAAACTCAATAACACCATTCCTCTTTTCATCGAACAAATCAAAAACCTACAAAACTTCGAGTATATAATCATTAACTTTCATCTCAACAAGTCCAAGAAACCACGAAAAGCTAATCAGTCTTCTCCAAAGGACATAGTCACATCTACTCACCCTATCAAGAAAGAGGTTCTCGCCATATGGAGCTTGGAACAGGGCCAGTCTAAGCTCTTCCTACAAACCAGGAACATCGATATTCTCACAACCAATACTCATCAGCACAAGAAAAGAATTTACACATAGAAGCTTCAACCTATGGCAAATTCAACAACCGGATCTCTATTCACTAGTATCCGAGACAAGAAAAAATAAACTTACCTTGTGAATCAAGCCGTCATCAATAATGGAACAGCTCAGTTTCTTGAATAGCTCATACAAAGCTTCAACTTCGTTGATTGAAACTACAAGTACATTCGAACCAAAGTTGTAAACTTTTGAGCTCCATAACAGAGAAATTGTAAAACCCATTGACAAAGAATTGGTCCAGAGAGAGAGAGGGTGAAAAGAAGAAAACCCACATCGAGATTCACGAGCTAGACGAGCCAGATCCGCGTGCTGACATGTCTGAGGCAACCGCCGGCGGCGGCGGCGGTGGCAATCGAAGCATTGTCCCATGGTGGAGAAGAGGAAATCAACAACGGCAAAGAAAGGTATGAAGACGGCGCAGATTTGCTCTCCAACTGTAAGAGAGCTTGATCTCTGTTTTAACAAAGGAAGACCCAAAACATTACCTTCAATCCAAAACCAAGAGAGAGAAGAAAGGAGAAAACTAAATCAAAGCGAAATGAGAGAAATTTACAGAGGAAACTTTCGGGTCCAGGAGACATTGATTAACCGGGACCATCCTCCTCTAAGTCCTCTTCTTCGTCCTCGCCGACTTCCAAGATGGTGTCGAGATCACATCACAAGATTTCGAAATTCTGGATGAGAGGTATTGTATTTAAAAAAAAAAAAAAAAGTCCTTTGATTTTGCCTCAATCAGTTTACGTCTTCAAATCTTCGTTCGATCAAAATTACGCATATCCATATTTTCATGTTTATCCAATCAAATGTGAGCCCCATTTTCTTTTTATTCTCTAATATGATTTGTTTTAGAGAAGATTAATAATTTTATATTAGTCCTTAATTTTGGACTATATAATTTATGTCATGAATACTTTTTAGTCTAGGATAATTATTTTCTCTCAATATTCAAGAATTTGTTAGGCGTTAATTGGAGATGTAGTTTTTGATTTATTCTACATTTCCTAAATCTAATTACTGTAAAGTTAATATATAATGTTAAATAAACGAATATTGTAAATAATGTTTTCGAGTATGTAATAGATATTTTTATAATTAACATTGGAGATATTCTGTCTGGTTCTCGCTCAGAACAAAATTACAGTATATGCTTTGAGTTTTGAGTTTTTTTGGGCCCATGGTCATTTTTGCAAATTCCATCAGTTTTATGGTTATTCATTTAATTCACTCTTTAGTTATTCATTAGGTCTTGAGAAAAGTTTTATAGTATTTTGGATGGGAGTGAAAAGTTTTATAGTATTTTGGATGGTGCAACTTTATACGAAAACATATTTCGGCCAGAGCTAGCCCTGGGAGGATCCTAACCAAGCTTTGGCTTCGGGCCTCTAAAAGATTTATTTGAATGTATTTTCTTGATTCAATTTATAAGTTTTGTTTTCGTTAGATTTTCTAAATAAAAAAAAAAGTATTTCTAGAAATTAAAAGGCACAAATGTTTAAAGCGATTTTTTTTATTTAGAAAAACTAATGTTAACAACAAAAAATTACTGAGACGAAAAGCAACAAAAATCAAAAGAATTTATCATTGTGGTGAGAACTTTAAAGATATTTGAGTTTTTCTTTTTACACTGTTTTCCCAATCATTTTAGGTATTGACACTGATATCTGAACGTAAGCTAAGCTAATTATGAGAATTCTGATGGTAATCCTAGCAATAATTAGATCCATGGCTTTCTTTTAAGCTTTAATGTCTTTAATTTGAATTGTTATAGTCAAAGAGGATGAATTATTTCATCTAATTGTATTATGGAAGGAATTCAGTAATGAAAATTATGGGTTGCACAAACAAAAATAGATCCATGGCAATGTTATTTTCTCTTTGATAATTTCATAGGCTTGTCATATTTCTTTTTAAGCTATGAAGCCGTCGAAACTCAATAATTATATAGCTAATTGATTAATTTAGCAACTGAGACATTACAACATTTTCACACAGAAGAGTAGATTCACTTACTGAAAACTCAAATGAAAAGACTCAGATAAACTTCGGATGTTTGTGCGATTCGCACAATACAAAGAGTAGATTCACTTGTTACTAACCTTGTAGCAAGAACAAATACAAAACCATGCAATTATAAACAAAACGGCCGAAGAATTCATGAAAACCATGCTTCTACAGAATAATTTGTGGATAATCATGTTTCGTTTTCCAACATCCAAAGTGGCCATGTTATAAGTGGCATATAGATTGTTTACCACCTGAGATGCATATAAAAAAAAAGTAAAAACTAAAACTAACAACACAAGTGTTACTGAAAAAAATAATAACATATGGTATATATATACAACCAGTCTCACACCCAGAATAATTGTTACATTATTGTTATTGTTACACTAGACCTGTAAACCTAACCAAGATTTGAACAAGAAGAGCATAATTTCAGATGTGCATATCCTATCATAGTCTACGACTAATAGAGTAAATCATTATTAACCAGTATAATAAGACGTTGCATATAACGACACATTGAACCAAAAGAAAAAAAAGATTTGATAAGAAAGGAACAATCAAAGAAAAGGCCAATCTTGATTGATAATTTGTAAAGGTTATACGTAAAACTTAAATATATAAATAAACGTAAAATGGATATGAGATTTGATGGCACAACACAAAGACACGAGTGGTGAGAAAAGAAAGAAGAAAAAGCAATAACCCAAATGGATCACACATCTCATCAATTCTCCTTAAATGGCTAAAAAAGATCTCACCTCTCTTTACTTTTTTCCCTCTTTCTGATTTGTGATAATTGAAACCAGCACAAGAATACAAAACCAATTTTCTTATTATTATAATCGAAATTAATATCGTGTACTTTCTTTTTTGTTATACTCACATACATATATATATATAGGGACATGGAAATAGTAAAATGTAGGGTCTCTTCCCTTATTTAAAGCCTGCAACAGATATGAGTGCACTTCTCTGTAGTAAACAGTAACACATCGGTCTTCTTCATGTCTTTGGATTTTCTTTTTTGGATTTGGTTTCAACCATAGATTTCTTCTTGATATCTCTCTATGATCAACATTTTTGTAAAACAGATAAAAGTATAATAAGAAATGTAAGGTTTGTCTTTGGTCGGAAGATCTAAAAAAATATATGAAATTGAATTCATGTCACAAACAGAGGGAGCTCCGTACGTGATTTGGCCCTCCTTCCACCTCTGTCTTCAATTAAAATTACTTTTATCCCTGAAAAAAAGTTTATTTGTTTATTATTTTGTGTTGCTATTTGTTTGTCTAGTGCTCTGAATCTTTAAGCGGGGCAGATGATGGAGATTCCGAGTTTCTTCATGAAATTGTATAAAGTAAGGAGAAAATCAAGACTTTTCAAATTGTTCGCGTTCATGCAAAAGAGATTAATCAGACTCACTTTTCTCCTTTTTAGTTTTGCTGTGTCATTTTTCTCTTTATTTTATATTTAATAATTTTATTGGTGATTTCTCCTTTTTGGCTCTCTTTAGGAACATAGAGAAGCTGCGGAGTGAAAGTACAGTGTTCTTTCACCGAGAAAGAAGAGAAAACAAACACTTTCTTCTTCTTCAGTTTTAACACACAATTTGGAAATTTTAATGTAAAAATTCTGTTTTGAAAACGTTTTGCTCTCTGAGATATTCCCGGAGGTTCTATCAGAAGAAGAAGGATAAAGGCAAGTTCAACACTTTTTTTTTTTTTAATGTTCTATGGACATTTGTAGTAATCTAAAGCTTTCTTTTTGTATTTAACTAGTTCCCTGTTTTCACAGATATCTTTGAATTATTACTGGCTTGTGTATCATTGAGCCTACTTACTGCTTCATTGATTCATGCTTCAGTTCACATTTCCCTATATGTTTAAAAATTACATAATGAGATATTTAATGACATAAGTCTTACATATTGAAGTTCTCTGTCTGTTGCAGCATTTTACATTTAGTACTATTCTCCAAAGATTTGGTTTCTGAGATCTTCTGAAAAATCCTGTGCCTGACTCTTAAATACTTTCTCTTCTTGTTAATGCAGCTTCATTAGAAACCCAATGGACAACGACAACACTTATAGTTCTCTGGATAATGTCATGACTAACCAAAATCCTCTTCTCATGGATTTGATACCTTCAAGAGAAGATTCCACTTCATTTTCAACAATGCTTCCATGGAATTCCATCAGATCAGATCCTCTACAAATGGGTAGCTTTGATATCTTCAATTCTCTACTAGCTAACAAGTACTTATCATCAACTTCAAGATCTACCAATGTTCAAGAAACCAGCAATATCGAAAGCTTTGAAGTCATGGCTCCTCCTCCTCCTCCTCCCCCACTTCATCCTTTGAATCATTTACGACCCTATGATGATTCCTCAAACAACATGTGGAGTTTTGGAGAAAATAGCGAATTTTTTCAAGCATATTCATGTGCAGAAGGTGTTGTTGGTCCAAGTGAACCAATAATGTCTACATTTGGGGAAGAAGATTTCCCGTTTCTGATTTCAAATAAAAGAAACGAGCTTTCGTTGAGTCTTGCCACAGATGTTTCTGATGAGTGCTCGGAGATAAGTCTTTGTGCTGCTACTAAATCTACTAGAATAGCCTCAGAGCAAGCTTCTTGCAGCAGCAAAGACATTTCTAATAATGTCTCTGAAGTCATCTTTGGCTCGAAGTACCTTCACTCTGTTCAAGAAATACTATCTCATTTCGCCGCATACTCGCTCGAAGGCTTAGAGAATAATCCTCATCGTTATTCATCCAGAGGAACCGAGTCAAGGGCTGCTAATTCAGCCTATACGAATCTAACCGAGTTTCTTGATGGAGGGTTTAATAACTCAGAGGCAGGTTTCGGATCTACATCACAAAGACAAGCATTAGAAGCAAAGAAAACCCATCTCTTGGATCTTCTTCAAATGGTATATAATATTCACATTTCATTTAAATAAGTAAGCAATGGTTTTGAGTATTGATGAAGCTTTTTTTGGAGTTGATGTTATTCTTCAGGTGGATGATCGATATACTCATTGCATAGACGAGATTCATACGGTTGTATCAGCGTTCCACGCAGCAACCGAGTTAGATCCACAGTTACACACCCGATTTGCACTCAAGACCATCTCCTTCTTATACAAGAACCTGAGAGAGAGAATCAGCAAGAATATACTTATGATGGGATCGGTTTTAGAGAGAGGTAAAGAGAAGTCTCAAGAGAACTCAATGTTCCACCAGCATTGCCTTCTTCAGCAGCTGAAACGTAAGAACCATCAGATTTGGAGACCGCAACGAGGTTTGCCTGAGAAATCAGTTTCGGTTCTCCGGACTTGGATGTTCCAAAACTTTCTTCACCCGTAAGTAACAAATCCTTTACTCTTTTCAAAACCTAACTTTATGATGACATTTGTTAGCTAGAATTGTTAGGCAAAGTTTTTAGTTGGCGATATTGCTGTTTCCGTTTGGTTGCAGTTACCCGAAAGACTCGGAAAAACATCTTCTTGCTATACGAAGTGGGTTGACAAGAAGTCAGGTAAATGTCTCACTTGAACTTTCCTCTTTGTTTTTGTTGTGCAATGCAAATAATAGATTTGGTATTCAAATGATTATATATTGACATACTAGTTTTCTGAAAAACCGGTGTAGATTGCTTTAACTTGAGATTAGGGATAGGCAAAATCACGTCTTAATATGTATCTCCAACTAAAGTGTCTCTTGTTGTTTGTGCATGTGTGATATAAAAGGTATCAAACTGGTTTATAAATGCGCGGGTTAGGCTATGGAAGCCGATGATAGAAGAGATGTACGCCGAAATGAACAAGAGGAAGCTGAATAATACTCACCTTCAAGGCAATGGAGCAAGTCTTAGAATGCCAAAGTCCATTATGATGAGCCAACAAAGGGAAAAATAAAAGAATACTTGTGTTACAACTTGTTCGAGAAAACGAAGGCAATTACTACTACTATGATTGTTTATGTTATAATTGTATATACAACTTCTTCTTATATCTAAGACTATTTCATATTGGGTGTTTTCTGCATGTTTGAATCATTATCATCGTCTAAAAATAACCAAGTTCATGAAAAATTATGAAAAACAAGAAAACTATGTGACTCCATGTTTCAAGAGTAGTCAGATGATTACTTGCTCGGTTCTGTTAGCTGATGCCGCAGAAGAAATATTCTGCACTTTTGTCTATGCTTTGAATACAGTTGAAGGGAGAAAAGAATTATGGGAAGACGTTAAACATCACCAGGATTCGCCTATGTTTAGAAATAAGCCTTGGCTGATCTTTGGTGACTTTAACGAAATCCTGCAAGTGGAGGAACATTCGGGGTTTACTGATTCTCCAACCATACCGCAGGGGATGAGAGACTTTCAGCACATCGCTCGTTACTGCTCTCTGGTTGATTTAAAGACGCATGGTCCATTGTATACCTGGTGCAATAAAAGAGAAGAGGGTCTGATTTGTAAAAAGCTGGACAGGGTGCTTATAAGTGACAGTTGGTATAACTTGTATCCTCATTCATATTGTACATTTGAATCAGGCGGATGCTCGGATCACATGCGTTGCCGTATCCAAATAAAAATGGATAAACAGAAGATCAGGCGTCCTTTCAAATTTACAAATGCGGTAGCGAGTATGGCGGGATTTTTACCTTTGATGAAGGAACATTGGGATGCGTCTCCAGCCCTTTTCAAATCGACTTCTGCGATGTTTCGTTTAGCCAAAAAACTTAAAGCACTGAAGGTGAAATTGCGACACTTCAGTAAAGAGCAGATGGGAGATTTAGTGAAGCGAACAAAAGAAGCACATAAGATGCTTTGCGAGGCACAGACAAAGACTCTTTCTAATCCCTCATCACAGAATGCTGCAGATGAAGCTAGAGTATATGAAAAATGGCAGAGGCTGGCTGAAATAGAAGAAAAATACCTTCGTCAAAAGTCCAAACTCCATTGGCTGCAGGTTGGAGATGGCAACAATCGCTATTTTCACAATGCAGCCAAGCACAGAGAGATCAGTAATTCAATCCGGGAAATACAACGGGATGATGGTTCAATTGCAACAACTCAGGATGAGCTTAAGCAGGAAGCAGCGAATTTCTTTCATAAGTTCTTGTCACCAGACAGTGACGCCTACAACGATGTTTCACAGGAGTATATCCATGATCTTATTGGTTTCGAATGTAGCAATGATGACAGAGAGATGCTCGGTAAAGAAGTCACTGAGGAGGAAATCCGATCAGTGCTTTTCGCCATGCCGGGAAACAAAGCTCCTGGCCCGGATGGCTACACTACCGAATTCTTCAAAGAAGCTTGGTCGATATTGGGGCCAGATTTTGTTGTTGCTGTCCAATCTTTCTTTGAAAAGGGATTCTTGCCTAAAGGAATCAACTCCACTATACTAGCATTGATACCAAAGAAAACAGAATCAACAGTTATGAAAGATTACAGACCCATATCATGCTGTAATGTACTCTACAAAGTTATCTCAAAGATTCTGGCCAACAGGGTAAAGGTAATCCTCCCACAGTTCATCGCACCAACACAGTCAGCCTTTGTTAAAGGTCGGTTACTTATGGAAAACGTTCTCTTAGCATCTGAGCTAGTAAAGAACTACCACAAGGAAATCATATCTGCTCGCTGTGCCATGAAAATCGACATATCGAAGGCGTTTGACTCAGTGCAGTGGCCATTTCTGCTATCAACATTGTCAACGCTAAAAGTTCCTGAAAAGTTCATTCATTGGATCAAGCTATGTGTTACCACTGCTTCCTTCTCGGTGCAGGTAAATGGTGAGCTCGCCGGATATTTTCAGAGTAAAAGAGGACTACGGCAAGGATGCTCTCTGTCTCCTTACCTCTTTGTGATCTGTATGAATGTTTTATCCAAAATGTTAGACAAAGGAGCTTCAGAAAATTGTTTTGGCTATCATCCCTTATGCAGTAATCTTCATCTCACTCATTTATGTTTTGCTGATGATCTGCTGGTGTTTACTGATGGGAAAAAGCGCTCCATAGAGGGAGTTCTTAAGATCTTTGGCGACTTTGCTGGTTTCTCGGGTCTGAATATAAGTTTAGAAAAATCTACCCTTTATGTCGCAGGAGTTTCAGGCACTGAATTGGAGGAAATCACTGATCAATTCCCTTTCGAGTCAGGCACTTTGCCGGTGAGATACCTGGGTCTCCCACTTCTCACTAAACAAATGACTGCGCATGATTATAACCCGCTGCTCGAGAGAATAAGAGATCGTATCAGTAAATGGAATGCCCGGCATCTCTCCTTTGCAAGCCGTCTGCAGCTCATCGGATCGGTTGTCCACAGTTTAACAAACTTTTGGATGTCCGCATATCGGTTACCGAAAGCATGTATCTCGGAAATAGACAAGTTATGCTTTGCTTTTCTATGGTCAGGTCCAGAGCTAAACCCTAGGAAAGCTAAAATTGCCTGGAAAGATGTGTGTAAACCCAGAGAGGAGGGAGGATTGGGTCTAAGATCACTTTCTGAAGTAAACAAAGTGAGCTGCCTCAAACTTATTTGGAGAATTCTATCGTCACGATCATCCCTGTGGGTTGATTGGGTTCGACGTCACTTAATTCGCAAAGGATCTTTCTGGACTGCATCGGATTCGAGCTCTGCAGGATCTTGGATGTGGAAGAAATTGCTTAAGTATCGTAACGTTGCGAGAAATTTTATAAAAATCGAAGTCAGGAATGGGGCATCTACGTCCTTCTGGTATGACATCTGGTCCTCTTCCGGGAGACTACTTGACATTACAGGAATGAGAGGCTGCATCGATCTAGGAATTCCATGTCATTCTACGGTCGAGCAGGTATTGCGAACTCATCGAAGGAGGAGGCACAGGGTCGCTGAATTGAATGTTATTGAAGATCTGATCCATGCGCTGCAGCAGAACATGATGGAAACAGAGGACGATGTCGTCTTGTGGAGAGGAAAGGGGGATAAATACAAACCAAACTTCAGCTCCAAAGAAACATGGCGATTACTCAGGACAGCTCAACCAACTCGTGTGTGGTGGAAAGGTATATGGTTCACATATTCCACTCCTAAATTCACTTTTATGGCTTGGCTGGGCGTTCATGATCGGCTTGCTACCGGGGACCGCATTTCCAGCTGGAACTTGGGAATGAACACAACCTGTGTTCTCTGTCAAGCACCAATGGAAACAAGGAATCATTTGTTCTTTGCCTGTAGCTACTCGACCCACATCTGGAGTCTCCTCACGAGGAAGCTTCTTGCGACGCATTACACAGACCAATGGGAAGGGATCATCCAACTAATCTCGACGAATCCTCTTGAGAAAACCAAGCAGTGGCTCCTGAGGTATGTCTTTCAAACCGCTTTATACACAATATGGCGTGAGAGAAACAGCAGAAAGCACGGCGAACCAGCACAACCGGCGCAAACTCTAGCTCAAAGCATTGACAAACAGGTCAGAAACAGACTGTCTTCCATACGAGCAACTGATGATATTCAGTTTGCTGATGGCATGGAAGCATGGTTTGCTTCGAGATGATCACAGCTCTATTTTTTGAATATCTGTTGTAAAATGCTATTAAGACTCTCAAGAAAGATGCACTTGTTGTAAAAACGATTTTTTTTTTGGTTGAATAAATTTAACATTCGATTCAAAAAAAAAAAAAAAAAAAACAACTATCTAACATCTGTGATGGTCGTCTATTAGTTAAAAAAATAGAAAATCAGCTAAAACGACATCGTATATATTGATTCGATTCGGTTTTTTTTTGGTCAAGTAACAAAAACGCAGCGTTTTATTTTTTCTCGTGTGAACAACTACAAGAACAGAAACAAAAAAAAATCAATCACTCGGAGATATCTATCAGGAAAATCGACGGCGAATGGAGGAAGACAGAACGATCGTGATCGAAGGTGGAGCGTCTCGGTACGCGCTGAAACCGGCGCGTATAAACAGAGAGGACATACTCTTCTGCGTCGATGTAGATGCGGAATCGACGGCGGAGATGAAGACGACGGGAACTAACGGGAGGCCTTTGATCAGGCTGGAGTGCGTTAAGCAAGCCATTATACTCTTCATTTACAACAAGCTCGCCATCAATCCAGATCATCGCTTTGCTTTCGCTACTCTATCCAAATCCGCCGCTTGGGTATTTGATTTCTTCTCTCCCTGATTCTCTTTTGCAGTGTCGTCATTTTGGGTTTTCTTCGATTTTTGATTTTACTCCTCAAATTTTGCTTTTTTAGATGAAAATTTTGGAACTTGCGATGTTTATAGGAGAAAGGATTTGCAATTTCTTATCGAATCAGTTAGGTATAATGGGAAACTATATACAGTTAGAGTCCTTGTAATTTTCAGCTGCTTTTGAGTTTAGCTGTTCTTCTTCTTAGAGGATGGGATATGGTATAGCTTCCCTCTGTTGCTTTTGTTGGTCTATAGGATAGTTGTATCAACTAAGACGATCTCTTCTTTCTATTTGGTTTTACTTTTCTTAGCTTGGAAGATCGTTTTGAATTCTTGTATGCTTCACATTCCATTCATGGCTAGATTATTGGAGCATTAATAATGTAGTAAACGAAGCCTTAGTTTCTTTAGGAGTACTAAATATCATTCTTCTTTTTGTTGATTGGTCCTTCTATATCGAATCCTAGAATCCTCAACTTTAAGCTGGTTTCTCCTCGATGCATGTTTTGGTAAGATATCTTACCTTAAACATTCTTTGTATCTGCTGTTCCAAACTTCACACTCTTATTACCTGGAAATGGTGTTATTGTTTTGTTTGTAGCCTCTAAATAGGCAGAGATAATCGAATTTGATGCATAAGAATCTCTATTTCTAGATTTTCACTGCTGACTGTGTCATCTAAAGTGAACCTTGAATGTCATTTCCATCTAGTGACTGTTTTTGTGGGAAAGAAACTCAATGCTTAGATCCTCTCTACAGTCTACACTCGTCTCTCTGCTGAATGTGCCATCTAAATTAAACTTGAGGCTTCGTATGTTTCAGCTTAAAAAGGATTTCACCAGCAATGCCGAATCTGCCGTTGCTGCTCTAAGAGGATTGTCAGCTACTAAATCCTCTGGAAGAGCGGATCTCACACTTCTGTTCAGGGTAGCGGCTCAGGAAGCAAAAAATTCCAGAGCACAAAACCGAATTTTGAGGGTGGTAAGTTAATTTTCAACCAAAAAAAATAAAAGAGAAAGAAAAATCTCACCTAGCCACATACTGAAAAACGTATTTTACTTATTTTATTCCCCTGCAGATTCTCATATACTGCAGGTCATCCGTGAGACCGACCCATGAATGGCCCATAAGCCAGAAGCTCTTCACTTTGGATGTTATGTACCTTCACGACAAACCGAGTCCTGATAATTGCCCACAAGATGTCTATGACTCTCTTGTTGATGCTGTAGAGCATGTTTCAGAGTATGAAGGTTACATCTTTGAGAGCGGTCAAGGGGTTGTGCGGTCTGTTTTCAAGCCCATGTCAATACTGTTATCGCATCCTCAGCAAAGATGTGCACAAGATGATCTCGATTTCCCCAAGTCTCTTGCAAAGAAGGTGCCTTTGGATGAGGCAGCAAGTGCTGAGGATCGTCACAATGGAAACAATATTCAGACCATAAGCCAATGAGAAAACTGCTTTTGTATCTTTGTTTAGCCATGACATTGTCTTAAGTTTGGCATGTCAATAACTCAAAGATCCATCATAGTAAAACAACTTATTAGTTCTCTTTTGGACAGCATAAAAAATCCCATTAGTTTTCAAGTTTCAACTCAAATTTCAAAATCATTGACTATATAGCACAAAACTAGATTTGGATTCATAAACAACACATACCGATATCAGTAAACCCCTCGATAGCTATCTGGTTTGAATTCATGCACCCGGACATCCAAAGCTTGGGAAACCACTAAAAATTTCAAAATACTTGCATACATTCGGAACCGTCCAAAGATAATTAGAAATTCTTTAATAAATTTATATATATATATATATGTATTTGTAGTCTCTCTATTATTTATGAATCCTACTCTAACTGTGAAAAAAGTCAAAGCCATTCATATTCATTTGCACAATTGTGTTTCTTAGTTGATGATGGATCTTTGAGTTATTGACATGCCAAACTTAAGACAATGTCATGGCTAAATAAAGATACAAAAGCAGTTTTCTCATTGACATGCCAAACTTATGAGATTGTTTTCAAATTTACCTTTTCTGTATATATACTGTTTCAATTATATGTCAGATCTCCTCTAAATAATTGTTATTAATTGTTATCCAAAGAGAATTGTTATGTAACTCCTCTTATCCTTTATCGCGATAAGCATATCAGTTTACTTCTCATACGAATATATATTATTAGATTAGAGGTAGATTATGCACAAAGTACAACGCGTCATTTTTGCTTAAAATTGTTTCTTTCTTTCTCTATTTTTTATACATTTAATTTATTCGCAACTAATTGATTCATACATGGATATATAGTTCATGGAAATGCGTGGTTGTGAGAACGGCACACTTTGAATATTATAAATCGTTTCGGGTGTTACAAAGTCAACACATTAATCAAGTTGTTTAAAAAGAAATATATATATATATATATATATATATTACAAAGTAATAATTATGTTATTCTGCCGTCTCATGTCACTATAATATGATGACAATACTAAAAACTTGTTATAAGAAAAGAAATCGTAAATGTGTTAATGGTATACATACTGTATATATATATATATATATATATCAATTGTTACAATTCAATTAGTAATATCTTCAACAGGATATCAAATCCGATTCTAAAAATAGAGAGAGGAATTGAGAATTATTAGTTATCTTTCTGTTTTTCGAGTGATCCTAATAGCTAAAGCAACGGTCTTGTGACTCTTGTCCGTAAACTTGTCCTCTGGCCTAGCTAATGGACCATATGTCCTGAAATTTTAGTTCACACAAAGGATTTAGCTCACGAGACTCACGACTTTATGATAACCTAAAGAGTAAAGAATACCAAACCATTAAATAAAAAAAAGAATGTTGCCATGCACTGGGGTTTAGGATGACGACGCCAACATGTACGACATTCGTTCTCTCGCGATAAGAGCCATTTAATTTAAACGGACGGTGTAAAAATGAAGTTTGTAATGACATTTGACCTAAATTATTAAATTAGGAATCCAACTAATCAAAAGATTGGAATCCTACAAGATGACACATCATGTGTTCTCTAATCATGTAATGGGGTAGTCTACGAAAATAATACTCCCTCTGTTCAGAATTATTTGATGTTTTAGAAGGTTTTTTTTTTCAAAATTATTTGATTCACTTTTCAATGTGAAATTTAATGAATTTTTATTGTTTTTGACTTTTTATATTCTGTAGATTATATTCTTATTAGCTGAATAATATTTAAATAAATTATAAATAATATTTTTAGTATAGAAAAAATAAAAATTAAATGAATCTGTATACAAAAACATTAAACATCAACTAATTTTGAACAAAAGGAGTAATAAAAATATTTAAATAACAAGAATTGTTTGTTATATTGATGACTTCATTTCTCACAAAGACACAAACAGGCGGGTGCCAGAAAAATCGAGTCTACTGTAGTTGAATTTTTGGAAAGACGATTTGATACTAATGGTTAATAGAGACAGGATTACATACTTACATCTAACCGATGATATACCGCCTCAGCTAAAAAAAAAACAAGAACAGTATATCAATATGTCCCTATATATATTTTTTACTTCAGTAATAAATCGAATATAGTTCTGACCAGGAGTCAGGAGACCAAAACTAGTTCATTGATACATAGATTAAAGTATATAATTATTGAATAAAAAGGATGTGAGAGTTGACGAAGTTGTATCGTTTGATTTGTCCTAAAGGACAGGAGGAGCTGGCCTAATTAGTACTCACAAAATACATACGTCAATTTTGTTTTCAAATATTTTCTTGTCTATACGATATATTAAATTTTATATAATGGGAGAACGGGATTAAAGTATTTGATGCATCTAACTTGTTGGCAATGACAAATAACAGGAATCCCGTCGGTAAATTATACTCCTATCAATATTCTCGAATAAATTAATTAGTAGTTTAATCAAGATACTAATCACACGTCACGCCACGGCATCATGTGCCCTTTCAACTGAATATTGGGATGCTCCAGATAAATTAATATTTTCAACCAAATAAATAACTATATTTATGGTAAATTTGTATTACGTTGTCAGTGCCAGCAAGAGCCACATAATTGCCTTATAATTCCAGAAACTATATTAAATTCTTAATTTACTATGTCAAATAATGCGGAGTATGAAAGCTTCAAAAAAAAAAAAAAAAAAAACAGAGTATGAGTATCTCATTTGCCCAAATTGTCAACTCATTTCACCTATTCTTTTGTTTTAATAAACGGCAGCGATATCTTGTACTTAGACATAAATTTTCTAAAATATTGTTGTTAGTTGTAAGAATATATAATATATTGCATATTATTTATGATTTTCAGAAATTAGTTAGTGAAAGACAAATATATCTGATTAGAAAAATATTAAATTTCACAGAAAATGCTATCGATAATTAGAATATAGATCGACCGCCTCAATATTGAATTCTTCTTCCTAAATGCCCAAACAGATACAAGTCACGGAGATGAATATAAAATATGATAAATATATATTCTTCTCGATTAAGATTCACAAAAGGCTATATAAGTGGGTGTATGCATAAGCAAAGTCGTTTATCAAACTCTTCCATTTCCTTTCATCTCACATATATATAGATACCAAAAAAAGAAAAGCAAAAACAAAAAAAGAGAATGGGATTTTGTTTGTGTTTATCCTCGGGAGGGTCAACAGATCGAAATCAAATTTATGAGATAACTGATTATGGACAAGAAAATGCAGTTTTATACTCTGAACAACACGAAGTTCCTCAAGACTTTGGATCTGTCTCTTCTTTAGCTGGAGGCAAGGGCTTCAACCAAGATGCTGCCATTCTCCACCTGGTATATGTCAATATAATTATTACCATTTTCTCTAAACTAAATTTATAATCGAAAATGTAAATATATTTTTTCGTACAATGTATTTTTTTCTTAAAAAAAGAAAGCTAAATGAATGATAAAATTGTAGGGATATGGAACAGAAGAAGGAGCGTTATGTGGAGTGTTTGATGGGCATGGAGAGAAAGGTGAAATGGTGAGCAAGATCGTAAGGAACCAATTGCCATCTTTACTGTTAGGTCATATGAATAATCATTCAGTGACTCGAGACTGGAAACTCATTTGCGAAACTGCGTGTTTGGCTATGGACAAAAGAATTCTTAAACTTAAAAACACTCTTGATTGCTCTTCCTCTGGAACTGCTGCTGTTTTCGCCGTTAAGCACGTAAGTTAATAACATCTTTAATAACCGTTTCATATTAAGTAATGTTTTGACCAAATTATTCTGTTTATTACTATAAATGACGATGTTTCAGTTTTCAAAGAAACAAAAACTCATGTTCTTCTTTTAAGTGTTATATATATAAATGAAATACAAATCATAAGTTTTGTAATATTAACAACAATACTTGAACAGGGAAATCAAGTGTTGGTGGCGAATCTAGGAGATTCAAGGGCTGTGATGATCGGAACAAGTGTGAATGGAGAAACCGAGGTGGTTCAATTGACCAGTGACCTGAAGCCAAGTGTCCCGAGTAAGTTTGTGATGATATTATGGATAATAATAGCTTTATTGTTGTAAACCATGGAACCGGTTTCATTATGGCTAAGTATTTAACGATTTTGCAGGCGAAGCGGAGAGAATAAGGAAACGCAATGGAAGGGTGTTAGCATTAGAGTCAGAGCCTCACATTCTAAGAGTATGGCTTCCAAATGAAAACCGGCCCGGTTTAGCCATGTCTAGGGCGTTGGGTGATTTTGTCCTTAAAAGCTACGGTGTCATTGCGACTCCTCAAGTCTCTACGCATCAAATCACTTCTCGCCACCAATTTCTGCTTCTTGCTTCCGATGGGGTACGTTTATTCTTCATTAATACCGGATTAATCAATCCAAGTAGAATCAACAACCGAAATAAAACTAACCAAATCAATATTAAATATGGTAAATAATGATATGTTTCTTGTGTGTTGTAAAGGTGTGGGATGTACTTAGTAACGAAGAAGTGGCTACGGTGGTGTTAAAATCGGAAAATGAGGCAGGAGCGGCCAACGCAGTGACAGAAGCGGCGGCTAATGCATGGAGACACAAGTATCCTACGGCTAAGGTTGATGACATCTCTGTCGTGTGCCTCTCTCTCAACAAGAGACATTTTCCTCAGCCACAAATATAATTTAAACAAACCCACTTGCGAAAAAAAAAAAAAAGACAAATAATGACTAATCAAAGATGGATGACTCGACAGCTTACTCAGACTTCTGCGTTTTACCCTTGAGTGAGAAAGTATATTTATTATGTCAATATATACCGTTGTATGTTAAGTGGTGTGTTAATTAGGAAAAAAAAAAAGAAAAAGAAATGATAGATGTTAGGAGTGGTGTGTGTCGTGAGATAAAAGCAACAAGGACTTTGACATTTTGGACACACGTCGTGGGAATCTTGATGTATCATTAGTGAATAGTTCAAATTTTTATTTCTAAGCTCTTATGTAATTGCGATATAAATTTGATAATAACATCTAACAAAGATGATATTGATTTCGTTCAATAGTTATATACAACTCCAGCTGTTAAAAATAAATGTGTCATAGTCTTGTTAGGAATTGAAAGTTTTTCTTACTATTCATTGAGGAAAATCAATGTTTGGCATCACTTAAAGCATACTTTGAAATTTAAATTATTTATGAATTTAAACTTTGCTTCCATCAAAACAAGTTCTGCTAATAACATAAAGTTCTTAAGTGTCGATCTAAAAAGAAAAAAAGTATCTATCGTTTATAAATTTCCGAAGTAGATACACTGATATACGGAGAAAATTTTGATTTTGATTGCTTAGATTACCAGTTACGTTAGCGGAGGAGGGAAATATGTGGCAGAAGAAAAGAAAGAAAAATCAGCCAATATAAGGAAAAGATTCCCATTCACTCTTTTGTAGTATATTTATCTTTTCCTCAGATTCTCTCACTTTCATTTATATCTTTGTTGCCCCACAAAACTGGCATTCCATATTTGACTAAAAATAGTAAATAAATTTAATGTTCGGGTAAATTCTAAAAGATATGGATAAGTATCATATCATCTATAGATATGATCTTAGACTGTCAAATGAATAACTAATTATGTGTGTTTATGACAACAAGCGGTTATAAGTATTGGAACGATCAAAGTTGTTGCTTGTTAGTATTATCATCAACTAATCAACTAATTCAGACAAAAACATTTTTTCTCAAAATGTGTATCCTTCTGTAATGTTTTTTTTTTTTTTTTTTTAACATGTTCATAGATCTGCTGTGTTGTTCTTAAATCATATTTATAACTAAAATAAACATTTATTTTTCGATATTAGACATAACATTTCACTGGTCATTTCCGATCCGATGTTAAAAACGATTTTTGCGAAAGGGTTTTCAAAATGTGTATAAATGTGCAAATTTATTTATTTTCTAATCAAATAATTAAATTTCGCTTGCGTGTTTATATAAACAAATTAGTTTAGAACTTAGACGTGTGTGTTCTCCGATCAGACAAAAAAGATTCATACTTTGGTTTGATTGGTGGACAAAAGAAAAAGATAAAAGATTCTTCTTTATATAAGACTGGGTAGTCCTCGGCGATCAAAAAGAAATCATATCCACGTCACCATTCGCCGGCAAAAATCCAAAAAACCGGCCTTGACGATGACATCAGTCGCCGTTCCCCTTCTCGTTCTCTTGCTCTCGTTGATTGCCGTCTCCGCCGCAAGACAAGGACCCGATGATATCATCAAACTTCCGTCGCAAGCTTCTATGTTCTTCCGTCCTGCTGATGACGACAACGATTCTTCTGCCGGTACTAGGTGGGCTGTCCTTGTCGCCGGATCCAACGGATATTGGAATTACAGGCACCAGGTTGTTTCCCGATTCTCCGTCTTTCCTCATCGGAATTTTGAATTCGCCTCCGATTCTAACCTTCGATTGCTTAGTGCTGTCTGGTTCGTGTATACGATTTTCTATCTAAACACCAAAGCTTGGATTTTTTTTTTTTATTCTAGATACTTAGTTACAGTGTGGTTTTGTTATAAGAATCATTGTGTGAATCTTTCCTGTTTAGATAGGTTTATAGTTCTGGGCATCTATGATCTAAGGTTTTAGTTGATTGTGAACTCTTGAAAGTGTTTTTTTTTCTTGATACTTATGAGTTCCTAACTTTTTCAGGCCGATATTTGCCATGCTTATCAACTTCTGAGGAAAGGTGGAGTGAAAGAGGATAATATTGTGGTTTTCATGTATGATGATATTGCAAATAATGAAGAGAATCCAAGGCGTGGGATCATTATCAACAGCCCTCATGGGAAGGATGTCTATCAAGGAGTTCCCAAGGTCTTTTGCTTTCGGGTTTTTTAGCTATCGATTCTCTCAAAATGGGTTTTTGCTTAATTTGGTTGGGATTTTTATTTGGTATGGCAGGATTACACTGGAGATGATGTTACTGTTGATAATCTATTTGCTGTTATCCTTGGAAACAAAACTGCCACTAAAGGGGGAAGTGGGAAGGTTGTGGATAGCGGTCCAAATGATCATATCTTCATATTCTACAGCGACCACGGTGGTCCTGGAGTTCTCGGTGAGTTCGGTAAAACACAGAGAGTTGAGATGGTTTTGAGCAAAAATATATTGATGGTTCTCCTTCATCTTTTATTTACAGGGATGCCGACTTCTCCATACCTATATGCAAATGATCTTAATGATGTCTTGAAGAAAAAACATGCTTCCGGAACCTATAAAAGCTTGGTAACAGGTTCTTCTGAAATGTTTGTTTTTGTTGTTGGTACTGCTTGTGAGTGATACCAAAAAAAGCAAACCTGCAGGTGTTTTATCTCGAGGCTTGTGAATCTGGAAGTATCTTTGAAGGGCTTCTTGAAGAGGGTTTAAACATCTACGCTACAACTGCATCAAACGCAGTAGAAAGCAGTTGGGGTACCTATTGCCCCGGAGAGGATCCTAGTCTTCCACCGGAGTATGAAACTTGTTTAGGTGACTTATACAGCGTTTCTTGGATGGAAGATAGGTAAGCTGAAGATATTCAATACACTTTTAAGAGTTCAGTGTTCTATTCTCATGTTTAGGAATCTCTTTGAATGTCTCATATATTGATTCTAATACTTGTTTAACATGCAACAGTGGTATGCACAATCTGCAAACTGAGACTCTGCGCCAACAATATGAACTTGTAAGTTTCTAGTCTCTCTGGAAAGCCTGTAGTACTAATGATGGAGCTGAACTTTCTCAACTGTAAATTAGATTGTTAGCAAAAGTGTGTGTCATCATTGTGTCTGTGTTTCCAGGTGAAAAGGAGAACTGCAGGTGTTGGGTCGGCTTACGGTTCTCATGTCATGCAATATGGCGATGTAGGACTTAGCAAGGATAAGCTCGACCTTTACATGGGAACAAACCCTGCCAATGACAATTTCACTTTTGTGGATGAGAATTCACTGACGCCACCTTCAAGAGTTACAAACCAGCGTGACGCAGATCTTGTCCATTTCTGGGATAAGGTTTCTTTCTTTTCATTCTTATTTACATATGTTAGACACTCGTTAGTTTCTGTAGTTCTGGTGAATTGCTTAATACAAATCTTTTGCATGTTATTATTTTCATGAAGTACCGAAAAGCACCAGAAGGTTCCACAAGAAAAACAGAAGCTCAGAAGCAAGTTCTTGAAGCCATGTCTCACAGGCTTCATGTTGACAACAGTGTGAAACTCGTCGGAAAACTCTTGTTTGGCATTTCAGAAGGTCCTGAAGTGCTAAACAAAGTACGGTCTGCTGGGCAACCACTCGTCGATGACTGGAACTGCCTTAAAAATCTGGTAAATAAATACTTCCCTAGCCGCTTGGGACTTTTTCTTGCTAATCTTATCATCAGCTTTTTTTATCATTGCAACGAGATTCGGAGGATATCTCTGTATATATGGAGTCAGTATTGAAAAACGTATTGATATGGTCATGGAATCACATCGATCATAATGTAAGATAGGAAAGTCAGTTTGTGGAGCACAGCACTCTATTATTAGCCAGGCTGCTGAGAAGTCAGACACTTGCGTTGCTACTGAAGTTTCAAACTCTCTACTCATTGACTGATGTTGATTACATAATCTCCATTGTATGTTTAGGTGAGAGCTTTTGAGAGACACTGTGGATCGCTGTCTCAGTACGGTATTAAGCACATGAGGTCCTTTGCAAACATCTGCAACGCAGGGATCCAAATGGAGCAAATGGAGGAGGCATCTTCACAGGCTTGTACCACAATCCCACCTGGTCCTTGGAGCTCTCTTCACCGCGGATTCAGTGCCTAAAACCCTAAACCTTCTCATTTGTATATGCTACCAATCCCCAAATATTCCCGTTTCGATTATAATGTTTGAATCATTATTCTCTATGTATATCTCATTAGCATTTCCCTCTTCAGTGTGTACTTTCCAAATTATCCTTTTCCCCTGTACAAATGCGTGTAGTACTATAGTTAATGTATATAAGGTTTGTTTGTTATATATTCTCCTTGTAAATTCTGAAACTTTCGATGGTTTTTGTAGCAGAAACAGCAGAATAACATAGGAACTGAGTTTCAGAACATAGGAGCTTTATTAGAACTAGAGTAATGATCTTCTCATGGTTTTTACATACACCAAGTGTGTAGAGAATCAGAAAATAGAACAACAAACGCCGACTTTACTTGGTGACGCTGAAGCTTGCACGGAAGTTTGATATCATAACCGGGCACTCGCCCTTCTCATCGTACTCTGTGAATTCCTCTCCGCTCGACAAATCAATGTCATCAAATTTGGTTCCAGATTCCTGTTTAGCCCCCAAAAGAAAATAAACTCACCTCATCAAAGACTCTAAGCTTGGAAGATGACTGTTGTAAGGAATCAGAAAACTAAGTGTGGTCGTTAAAACTTACAGCTTCAGCTTTCCAAAATCCACCAAACCCGAAATCGATGGGTTCATAGCCTCGACAGTCAAACATCATAAGAGGAGCATGTACTCCAGCTTCAGAATCTTCCAGAGTCAAAGGTCGACCTTTTCCCGGAATCATTGTCACATTCCCTTCCCTTCCACAGAACTTACACTAGAATAACTCATAGAGACAAACCATCAAATTCAAAGTACTTCAGAGTATTGCGCAACTGGAACAACTAGTTCAAGCAAACTCTGGGAAAAAGGTATTCCTTCAACCCAGCAAAATGAGAAGCGAAAACATTTTGCTTCAGCAGAGAAACAGATCAATACTGCCAAAGATCATAGCTGCCAATATGCTAAGAACGAATTATCCAAATGCAACTTAGCGAAATGTTACGACACAGCTCGCATCCCTCAAAACATGAAATTTTGCAATCGAACCACAACATGAATTTTCACAGTACCTTTTTCGGACTCAACCAAAAAAACACAAAGAATGTTCTCAAACTATAAAGAGATCACGAAAGAGTCAGGATCAACAACATTACCTTCTGAACAAGATGACAAGTACCCCTTCCTCCTGGAGGAGTAAATGTCTCATTCAAAGTCACACATGTTTCTTTCTGAGTCACCTCTCCGCATCTTTCACATTTTAACTAAAACCCAGCAAAAAAAATTATGTTAACTATTTCATGCTAAATATGAGGGGAGAACAAAAGAAGGAACTTGCTTACTCGTATGTACACAAGCAAGAACGACAAGGTATTTGAAAGTTATTTCTACTATTCTATCAGACTCAATTTCACTCACAAGGCGAAACTGAAACCCTAAACAGGAAAACATAAGAAGCTTTACTAAATCCTAAAAGCACCGAGAGAGCAGCCAACAAATCCAACGCTTTCATCGCAAGCAACGAAGCAGAAGACGTTAAATCATATAACCAAGTAAACGAAACCAGGAAAAGAAAACCCAATAAAGCAAAAGGAAAGAAGAGAATCAGGACGGAGAATCAAAGGGAAACCTTGAAGAGGTAAGGGAAGTTGGAGTCGTCGCAGCCACCGGAGGGCTGGAGATTTGTGAGATTCTCGAGATCAGCGGTGATTTTAAGCACATAGTTCACCATTTCCTTCTCTCCCACACCAAGATTCGAAGATTCTCCCTCCGTCTGCTGTTTTTGTGATCGTGGTTGCAGAGTAACCGGTCTTGTCCTTGAAAATGGGAGTGTTTTAAGACCCGGACGGACCGGTAAATTCGATCCGGTTAAATCTAAAAAACCCGAAACATTTTGATCCGGTTGAATCCGAAAACACAACAAATAAAGCCCACGGCCTGTTTGCGTATTAGCCCTTAGTTTAAGGAGGATCCAAATCCAAGCATAGTGTGAATTGATTCCTGCATTTTTTCAGACTTCTCATATCGACTATATAAATCCTCTAATAACTTGATTGGAATCAGAGCTGCGTCTCGCGAGGTGGCTGAAGTTTTTGAATATTAATCTTGATTAAAAGCTAATTCAATCATCTATAACGAACTTCAAACCATATTGATTTTGATTTTGATTTTGTTTGAGAAGAAATACTCCACCAAAATAAGTTTCCAAAAGTTTAATGTTGTATCGAATTCATTTTCAAGTTGGACAGCAAATATCTTTAGTCTCCGACCCTCACATAGTCACAAATGTCTCGAAATGTATTATAAGAAGTCAGGAAAATTCGAACAACTTGTTCGGTACATAAAACACACGTTGTACATCTATTACAAACAACAATATCGAAACATTAAGCTTGCTTGCTCCTATGCTACGCTTTGTTCCTTTCTGACATAAAAATGTCACCAAAAAACAGAAAGAAAAAGAATGTAAAGAGCTCGTGCGTGTAGTGGGAACGCACCAACACGCAACCTCTTTGAGGAAAATACTCAACAACCCAAGACACGTTGAACAAAAGTCAAAACTATTGTCTTTGCCACTTGGCTTGATGTCGGTTTCGCAAAACCACACGTAAAAATGTATATTAGCTTCATTCCCAATCAATCCCAAAGTATCCCTTCTATATCCATCCGTCATTTCTTCCCTACTATCGTCGTCATTATTTATCCTTTTGTTTTTGATAATCAATATATTTTTATCATTAAACGTGACAGGTACGATCAACATTATTCTCCAACACATAAAATAGAGTTCGAATTAAATAATCAGAAATTTAGTCCTCTTGATCCCTCTTTGATTAACCGTTAAACTATCACTTTCGCAAAACTTCTTCTCATTACTTTGATATTTTCTTAATATACGTAAACTAGATTTCTAATTTCTCCAACTTTATATAATTTGTTTTTTCTTGAGTTGTCATGTTTGCATATAACGCACAACAAAATTATATGATATACGTGAAGCTACTATAAAAGTAATTTGTTGAAGATTATATCGCAAACCTTTGACTTGAATGGTATAGTGAAACTTTGGCCCATTATGTTCTACGGTCAACAGCAAGTGGATATTTGTTCAATATTTCAGTTGTAGTGAAGTATTTTCTTAGTCTCGTGAAGTTTTTCTATTTTCTTTCATAAATTGAAATTCGTTTTGTAAATTTTAATAGTTTGAAGAATTTTCTATCTTCAAACTATCAATATTTACACAAAAAGTGTTCCTTTTTCTCTTTAACAAAAAAAATGGTCCCTTTTTCTCAACTGAAGTTTTCCAATTTTTGTTAACAAAACTAAAGTAGAGATCTTATTTTTAACACAACGATTAATGTAAAGTTTTAAGACACAAACAAAGGTTTTAATGTCAGTTTGGTGGTTTAGATTAACACATGTCATAAACTCATTCGTTAACATAAAAAGAAAGTATCACGTGTAAGGCAAAAGCTACTAGCTTTCTAAAAATTTCTTCAACATTTACCAAACAAAGCGCGCCTCTCGCTTCCTTCAACCTCTTTGCTCTCTTCTCTCTCTCTGCACAAAGCAAAGTTATCTTCTTTCTCCCTCCCTCCCTCCTCCTCTGTTTAGACGCAGAGCACCACCATGGCACCATGTTCAAAGCTCTAATTTTTTCTTCCTATAAATCCTCGCAATTTCTGTTTCTTAATATTGGGTTTTAATTTTCTTTTCTGAATTGAAAATTTTCGTAGAGAGACGCGACGGTTATATCTGTTAAGCCTCTTCGTTCTCCGAATCTAAAGTCTTCGTTTTTAATGGAACCAGAGCTTCTTTAATCTCTAGATGATTCTGATTTCCGTATAAATGGTGAGATTCCGTCTCCATTTCGCCTTCTTCATCCTCTGCGTTGTCTCTGCAAACCCGAAATTATCTGAGTCCCGGGATGAGAGTGCGATTAGATTCGACGGAGACTACAATCCACCGACACCTTCTCCGGCGCCGGAGCCTTACCCGGATGACGATGATAAATCGTCGGTTTCCTGTGTAGATGACCTTGGCGGCGTTGGCTCGTTGGATTCCACGTGTAAGCTCGTCGCCGATTTGAATCTCACACGTGACCGTTACATCTCCGGGAAGGGTAATCTCCACGTCTTGCCCGGCGTTAGATTGTCTTGCCAAATTCCGGGATGTTCCATTACAGTCAATATCTCCGGGAATTTCTCATTGGCTGAGAACTCGTTAATTACCGTCGGAACTTTCCGTCTCGCCGCGGATAACGCTGATTTCGGGCTTGGCTCGGCCGTGGATACAACCGGATTGGGTGGAGAACCGCCGTCGGGGGCTAGCGGTACGCCGGAGGGAGTGGAAGGAGCCGGTGGAGGATACGGTGGAAGAGGTGCTTGCTGCTTGTCGGATACGACCACGAAGCTTCCGGAGGATGTGTGGGGTGGTGATGTGTATGGTTGGTCGTCTCTGGAGAAGCCGGAGATTTATGGTAGCAGAGGTGGGTCGACGAGCAATGAGGTTGATTACGGTGGAGGTGGCGGCGGAACGGTGGCGATGGAGATTTTAGGGTATGTTGGGTTAAACGGCAGCGTTTTGGCTGATGGGGCCAGTGGAGGAGTTAAAGGTGGTGGTGGGTCCGGCGGCAGCATCTTCGTCATGGCACATAAAATGTAAAGACTTGATTTTTATTTTTTTTCCCTTTTTGTCTTTTTCACGCTTTCTTTACTCTTCTTTAACCATCTAATTAATCGTTTCTTTCTTTAATGAGAAAGAGTTTTGATTTCTTAAGGCTTTGTATTGGTTTAGTGAAGCTAAGAAAAAAAGATTAAGAAAGAGTTGACTCTTCTGGTTCCACATTTGGTAGTTGGTGGGTTACTTAATGCAAAGTTCTTAGGTTGTCTAGGAAATAAAGTTTTTAACTTTGTTGAGTTGTGGCCTTAATTATTGCATTTAGCATCTGCCTTTTTTGAAAGCGAAAGAGTACTACTCTTTTTTTTTTTTGTTGCTCTACTAGTTACAAACTTGGTTTGCAATGTGAAGAACGAGGACTGAAGATTAGAAAACTCCAAACGTGTAATGAGAGTTTTTGTTACATTTATTCCCCATTTTTATGGTTTGAAAGATTTTGTATGGCTTTGGTTGATCTGTACAGGTGCAAAGGAAGTGTATAATAGCTTCTTGGCTTAAGATTTTGGTCTCTGAAAATACTGTTTTTGGTTCATGCCACAGGGCAGGAAATGGTCGTATAAGTGCATCTGGAGGTGATGGTTATGCTGGTGGAGGTGGTGGACGGGTATCGGTGCACATATTCAGCCGCCATTCTGAACCTAATATCTTTATCCATGGTAAGCTTCAGTTTGATGATATTGTGACGATACTCTGCTGTGAAGTTTCTTGACTACTCATCTTGATAAGCATTTGTGAGAATCTTCTTTTTGTAGGAGGTAGTAGTTTTGGTTGTCCAGAAAATGCCGGAGCTGCTGGGACTCTGTATGATGTTATTTCAGAGAGCTTAACTATCGACAACGACAATAAGACAACTTATACTGACACTCTTCTCCTGGAGTTCCCTTACCATCGCTTTTTCACTAATTTGTATATCCAAAATATGGCAAAAGTTGCTGTTCCCTTGCGTTGGAGCCGTGTTCAGGTTTGTGAAATTTAGATAGATTCTTGATTTTTGGTCGCTGAAGCCATGTGAATTCCTATGAACAAGTTACTGGTATTAAACGTAGAAGTTGTGTTTGCGATGATGTTCTCCTTAATTTATTTACTGCTTCTCTTCTATTACATCAGTTTACTGGCATCTTATTCGTCTCTGCCAAAAAAATTTTGAAATGCTGACAATATTGTTTTAGGTCCTATAGAGATTATATATTTTCCTGGTTTTTACAGGTTCAAGGATTAATAAGTTTGTCAAATGGTGGAGAGTTGAATTTTGGTCTTCCTCGTTATGCTTCTTCAGAATTCGAATTATTTGCAGAGGAACTCTTGATGAGCAATGCTGTTATTAAGGTACCCCATTTATTTTGAAAAGGCCAACGAATTTTGAAAATTCAGTTTAGTTTTTCTTTCGTCTATGTTCTAATTGGATCTCTATGCTATATATCAGGTGTTTGGGGCTTTACGAATGACAGTCAAGGTGTTCTTGATGTTGAAGTCAAGAATGTTTATAGATGGTGGTGGAGTAACAATTTTGGGAACTTCAATGCTCGAAATTAGTAATTTGTTGGTGCTCAAGGTATTCTAATAATATTTAATTATATGTTCTTCATCTCACTGGTGAATAGTAGACAACTTTTAATGTTCTATTATGTGCTGTTTTCCTTTATATAGGAGTCATCTGTGATACAATCCAATGGAAACCTTGGAGTACATGGGCAGGGTTTGTTAAACCTAACAGGCACTGGAGATACAATTGAAGCACAACGTCTTATTTTGTCTCTGTTTTATAGCATCCAGGTAAGAAAGATAAACTGCATCATATTCTTTACGTTTAGTGTGATTAGGTGAAGTGTTGAAGCTTCCGTTTTTATGCTCTTCTGAATTTATATCGGATTAAATATTTCGGTTTCCCCACTATCTTTGAAAAGGAACAAAACTTAGCTCTTCTTATTTTCAGAATATATGATTTCACACCTGTAGGTAGACAAAAGGTATTATTCCTTGCTAACAGCTATTTTTACGATTTGTGAAGGTTGGAGCTGGAGCGGTTTTGCGAGGTCCTTTGCAGAATGCATCAACTGGTGGCCTGTAAGTTCCGAAGGTTCGGATGATCCTTCCACAAAAGTCATTTTATCTTTTATACTATTTTGTTTTGTTGTACTGAGCTTGTAAAACCTT